TTCAGTCGCGAGAATCAATATGCGTTTAATGAACTATCACCATGATTACATGACATTTCCTATTGCAACTTTGTTGGTTAATCCATTCTATTTAAAACATAAAATTGACTTGATGATTCAGGTACATCGATTTTACGTGGTAATGTAACTATTTATTCTAATTTTAATGATTAGTCTTAAAGACTATTACAATATATTGCCAATAAATAGGAACAAAAGAAAAGACATTGCTGTACAGCAAATTCAGTTTCAAATAGAGTATGTTAGTTGTTTTTTTTTCTCTTACGAAGAACAATAGAGGAATAGTGAAAAGCACTACGTTTAGTTTTTTTTCTTACTGAGGTAGAACATTTCTAAATAAGTTGAAAAGTCCTAGTGACCAATAGGAGTTTTCAACTTATTTTTTCTATGAGTTAGACATAATCTATTCCGAATGAAATAATGTTTTTTTTTAAATATACATAAATATGTTAATCGCTAAAAATTTTTGTTTAATAGTTATGTTACTGTTTAGAGACGGATAGGTACTATCTTAGATTACAACCTATCAGGTAGCTTCGTAACCTGATCCAGGGGAATTCCTTGTGCTTGTTATGGCGAGGTAGTATAGTAATCAGGAAAGCATATGCGTTCGTAAATCGTGTCATCGTTATTGTACGATATACCTACGCTCATGGCCTATCAGTTTGGTGTGGTCCGCTCTATGTGTATCTCTGGTATGTAAATGCTCCTCCATTTCCTCCGTTTTTTTGAAAAAAAGCTGCTCCCTCCTTCTCCTCTTTTTTGGAATTTTCGTTACGAAAACCACTAATGACAGCACTTTTACAACACTCTTAGTGGGTTTTATGATGTAGTAGTCTTCGTAATGATCCTGGATCAAAATCTTTCCGTGAATCTCTAGTCGATTCGGTCAGATTCGGCTGAATCCTGTTCAAATTTCACGAAAATTCCGAAACGGAGTAGATTCGCCGTATCTTTTCGGAGTACCAGTTATCCCAAAGTTTTCGGTCGTTGGAATCCCACTGAACGAAAACTTTTTTCTACACCACCAATTTCAGACACTATTTATTTCGATTTCGTCTAATCTACCAGCTGATTCGGTATGAGCGAAGAATCGGGTTGCTTGCTCCAAGACATTTATTCTTCGTGCCTCCTCTTATTGACAACAAATCTCTGCTGAGAACTCTGTTATTCCAGCAAAGTTGAAGTAATATTCCATCCTAACGCTAAAATTTATATCGTTGACAACAGCTCAATGTCAGAATATTTTAATTCATGTGAATAACTTCTTTGCAGTAGTTCAATACACCTTCGTTTTAGGTTTTGTCTTGGTCAACTTGCGAAAAATGTACTCTGCGAAGAGATACACATACAATAAAAGCACATTTTACCATATCACAGTGTAGTACATCATGAACTGATTAAGAGACGTAAATTGTGAGCAAAGAAAATACGTGTTGATTTTTCATTTCATCTTAACAAATGTTTTTTTCTGTAAATAATTAGTATCGGGTATTATTGTAAAATTCTGATAGAGAGACAAATGCTTGTTGATGCATTCCAAAAATTGTTTTATTTCTGATATGTTTATGCTACAGCTATGTAGACCTTGAATAAATTCCTTGATAAGCTTACTATTACGTTCTTTATAAGAATTGTTGAATCTCCATGAGTAGTATCCCGGTCAGCTAATTTAGCACTTAATATTGACCAATTTTTTGTGAATTAACTCGGTAAATGAGGCTTGAACAAAGATTTTGAAAAGTACTTTTTTTTTCGTGACTCCTCCACTATATATATGCATTCATCATTAACTCAAAAGCAAATATTTCTCATTCTGAAGAATTTTATCGGTTTACAATCCGTTCAACCGATTTCTCCTAAGAGCACTTTGTTATTTTCATTGGGAAGCACATATATGATTGCAGAGGAATTTCTTAAAATACAGAATATCTTTCCTGTTAAAGAGAGCCGAGAATAGACCACCTTAGATTGGTTGCGGACCAGCTTGGGTAGAGGTCTAAAGCGAGTTTTAATGCACACATCAACTTTTTCAAAGTTTTAACTCTTTCTGGTTTTCTCTGAAAAGCTGATTCTTTTTCTTGTTTTGGTTGTTGGCTATGAAAATAAATCGCTTGCGTTCATTAGAGCTCATTCAATCAGTCCCCTACCGACGGACTCTAAACATCAGGATGCAGCCCTACTCCTCACACATTTGCATCTTTGAAACACTGCGCTACTCTTTTCTTGATGAAAAAAGAAGTCCTCCTTTTCCCTTCTTTTTCTAGAACAATCCTCCAAAATATTCATGTCATAAATTCTCTAAATTCCTCGTTTTCTCATATGGGACTGTTCACATACCAGCTGTATCCATATCCGGCTTTCATGGGGTTTCCCTGTTCGCTCACATTTATAAAGGAATGAGCTGAGAAAAAGTAGTCAATAGCAATGCGAATAAATTTATTGAGGAAATCAAGAAAGCTAATATTTTCCTCTGTCACATAGTTGATGTTATCTATTATTCTTTTAAATGAAGAGGATGGGTATAAGTCGGGGTGGATGTGCTTGTGGATGTTGCTCTCTTCTTGTACCCACAATTACACCCCACACCCTGTATGTGTCAAGGTTAAAACAACATCAGCCTAAAGATCGATGGTCAGTTGTTTTCGATATTTAGATCTTATAAGTAAGATCTGAAAATACAAATAGATTTAGACAAAAGTGAAAATTTGAGAGGAAGAACAAACATCGTCGGACTACGATCTGAGACGATTGGCGCATGGGTTTCATTCAATCATGACAATCGACTGCGAGCTGTTTGCTTAAGTAAATCTTAGAAATTCAGAATGGAAAATAGAAAGGTCCGAATCATTTACAAAATGGTCATCACTGACTATACTATAGACAGATTTTCGTCTATGCATGTGTTGCACAATAATTGTCAAAGCAGAACTCAGAAAACGGTGACAGATGATAACAAGATTGAATTCAATTTAGGGTTAAGCGAATCCTGCTGACAAGCGTTACTTGTATCTAGTAGATGTAAGATATAACTTTTAATTTACACAAGCTGTGTTCATGTGCATGCATGCATAAAGAAAAATATGTTGCAAAACATTTATATCATCTAATGTAAGTATGATCTTAATCTGAATCAATAGTTAACTATTTGTGTTTTAGACTTACTTTTACAAGATAAATTAATCACAAAAATGAAGAATTTTTTCCTTGGATTCATACAATATAAGCTCTGAGGCTTGCCGATTATACACTTTTTTTATTATACACGTTTGTTTGCATGTAATTAATACGGTGTTGGCAATATTTATTTCATAAATAAGTTTATATAAAGTGTGCTTGTTTTTATGTTATTCAACACTTCATTAGCTCTCTATTGTTTTTGATAGCTAAAATCAGGTTCAATACTCAAAACTTTCATTAATCCAATACCGATTAATTATTACAATAAAATCTCGTATGATTTTGAGACATAAACTCACTCCTGAACTATTGCTGCTTCTTACTTTTCTTCTCTGGATTGCTACTTTTTTATGTTTGTATATTATATTTACTTTACGTTTGTACTTATAATCTTGCTTATCTTGTATATATATCATGTTCAATGGAAGTTATCGGTTATAGACATTTAATAAATAAATCAAATGCTCTTATCTTAATTCATCGCTTCACATTTTATTTCTAGATCTGTTCAAAATCAATTTTATTTTTCTGATTTTTCGAAAATATATTTATTACCATAAAATGTCAACAATTTCAAAATCTGCTGAAGAAAATCACGATTTTGCTTTCGATGACGAAATCATTAAGAGTATTCTAAACGAAAAAGGTATAAAAATCATCTCGTACTGTATCTTTCTTACTAATGATTTTTCAATTTTGTTGTACACAGGATGCATCAATCAGAACTCTAGCTTTGATCAAAATCAAGAAAAAGCTAGAAATGAACAGGACTGTGCCGATGTCATTAATTCTTCTGAAAGTGTTCAGGAGATTTCTTCATTAGCAATAGCAAACCATAATTTGTAGTGAGATATAATGAAGGTTTCTATCATTTCTTTCATTGTTTGTTGTTATTTATAGTCAAATGATTTTGAATCTTCAATTAATCTCAATTGATTCGATCTGAATACAATTCCACCAAGTCCATCACTTCTATCTTTCATTGATGATTGTGAACAAGTGGTGCAACAAGTAACAACTAACACTAATGATACACTTGTTGAAATGACTGACATTGGTCGATCTGATAATACGTCAGAAACAAATCATTTAATGAATGGTAAAGATATTGCATAAGAAACTAGCATTGTATCTCGTTTTTTTTGTCATAGAAGAAAGTACTGAAACAAATCGGCCTACCACAACATCTGATTCAAATATGATGTGTACGAGTAGAGCTTATCTCCGAATATCTATCAACGGTACTATCTCTGAACATGACAGAACATTTGCTGAATTTGGACATCTAAGTAGGAAAAGACAATAGACAAGACAAAACAAAAGTATTTTGGAAAAGAAATGTTGTTTGATTTTAGGCATGGAAGAAATTTCTTGTACTTATAAATTCGATCTTGAAGATGTGAAAACAACTTTAAAAATGTGCAGAAAATAGTCCTCGTAAGTTGTCAAGTACTTTTGCCATATTTTATAACACCAAAACATCCAGTAAGAAGATCATGACAATGATCTAGACATCTGAAATAATAAACGTATAATTTTCTTTGTTTTCCTACTAAATTCTTAGAAGAACAGATAATGGACGAAATTCGTCATGAATTTCGCGACAAGAAACTTCAGTATGCTTGTGTTGGAGCGAATTCAAAATTAACTACTGATAAAACAAGACTTGTATCCAAATCATATTGAAGAAGTCAGTAAATCAAGATAAACAGTTTTTGGATAAAGTAACGAGTAAATATATAGTGTTGAGATAGTATAACATGTAAAGAAACAAACGAAGAAAATATGTTTATTGTAGAGGATGTACAATGTAATTATCATGTTACACAAAAAGATCGAGCGTGGAATGAATATATTAAGAAAGGTGTAACCAATTTGGGGCATTAAACAAAGCAAATTCATAGTATAAGTAAACACATGTTTTCTAGGGATTAACCTCATTGAATATGGTCACTTTAAATCACCATACAGTGGAGGCAAGAAACATTGGTCTGCTTATCCCATTCTTTGTGCTAACAAAAATGATAATACTATTCGGAATTGTAATCTGAACAACGATGATAATCATTCAAATAATGATGATAATAATCATGACGATGCTAATGATAATAATATCAATCATATTAATGATGGCGATAATAGTAATTATAATAATAATACCAGTACTGAAACAAATGCAATTAATAACACCACTAGTGAATCACATGAACTTGATAATACTAACAATACAACTGAACAAGTTTTCAATATATAACCAGTTATTCAAATTTCATCTCATGAAGATATGATTTATAAACAAGCATTAATTATTGCTGAGAGAGATATACATCCAGCGATGAGCCATGTTAAGATAAATAGGCCACATTTATTTATGCTTAATAGCCGCAGGTTGGATAAACGACGTTTGTTAGTGGTAACCGAAAAAGATTCTTCTCTTTAGATATTTGAAATCATTCAAATATGTCTATAAACCAGCTAATAAACGTAATCGATCATCATCATTATCAGAATAAAACAAATAATCTATATTCATCAGTATTTCGCATATGTTTCTATAGACAATTATGAGGGCGTGGATGTAGCATTTCTTTTTACTCACTCCAACGCTCACACACCACATTCCCAAACTCACACCCACACCCTACAACAATGATTCATTGTTTTACAAAACCAATATCCCAGAAAAAAAATGATGTATATTATGATGATCAAGTATCTGAAAAAGACATTTCAATGGGCCAGGTTGAGCCAAAGAAAGCTAGCTCATGGGTTATCGACCTTTGATTCGGCCGAGATCATGATTTTTTTTAAAGAAAAGGCCCACCTATGAGCGCCCATGGGCCATTCATCTAATTCCATTGAATAAATGCTTAACGCATGAATGTGAGCAAGCATATTTTTGAGTAGAGTAGTTAATGTATAGACAGATGTTCGGTAAAATATTTGACAACTTGCAAAAACTTCAATTATCTCGAATTTAGCAATATTTTCTGAATCCTTAGTTAACAACCAAAAAATTTCCAAAATAAAGACGTGTTTCCTTTTTTATTTTTAATAACAACATGTACCGATAGTTGTTGTTTCAAAAGAAATTCGATCCATTCGGATGTATGCTGTTTTGTATATGATGATGAACTGACACCGTTAGTTGAAGAAAATGTTAACAGAAAAAATGATGATTGAGAAGGTTCAGTAGGAATAGAATTAGAATCAGAAAAAAGAATTGATGATCCTGTTGTAATTGTTGATGAACAAGGAGAGTTAAACAAGAACATTTTATTTAATGGAAATAAAGTTTTTTAGATGACGACAGTAATATCATTTAATTAAATTGATAAAACAAAAGAACGAAATCAAAGATATTTTAGTGGCATTGCATATTATTAGATGCCAATAAGTTGCAATGGAAACCACTATATTCAAATAAATGTGACACTTTACTTTAACATTATTGGTATATAGATGAATAAAGTATTTACTAATCACTTGTGTAAAGTAAATATATAAATTTAGTTTCGTTTATTGGCGTTTCTGTTAATCTATTATAATTTATCTGCATGGAAAGAAGTAGTCCGTGTCTCGTTTTATATCCCAAGATACTCCTAGAAAAATTTATCTTGCAAATAAGGTGGTACCATTTATCTTATATTTATAGTAGGCTTTCACTAGTTACTAAACAGTTAATATTAATAAATTGTCAAGAAATCTGAATTGATAGATGGTTTGTGAGAATTTTTGAGATTGATCCTCTCCTATGATGTGAAGTCTATTACTAACACTTCAATTAAGCTTTTAAAAAATTGATTATTTTCTTTTTTAAAGGTCTCCCATCACTCTCACGTTCAACAATTTCAACAAAGCACTTAAGGATTCAAATTTCTCGACCTCTAAAAATCTTCGATCAAGTTTTATAAGATTCGGTTACTTGTTCTTGAAATAACCTTTTTCTAACTGAAAAAAATTGAAATGGTATTATATTACTCTCATTTCAATTATTTAATCATTTAGAGTAAAATGATTGCTATATTAGTCGCAAAATAAATGGTTTTAAGGGTATATCTGAGCATAAAATAGAGATAGGGATATTTATCTAAACGAAAATATGCAAATATTTTCATATATTCACTTTACAAAAGTAAACTTGCCATCTTTTCTAATACTATAGTTGCGGCTATGGTAGGTTGTCAATCACAATGTAAATCTCTGACAGATAACATTCGAATAAGTTTTTGTCTGAATGATCAATGAAAAGATTATCATCAGCATCTAAACAATCGATCTTCTCGTCGTATATTTTTTACCAATCTTAACAGGATGGTTCTTGATAAAGACCATATTTAAAACAAAAACGATACCATGTACCATTTTAATCATCAGAGAAAATTTTTCTTTTTTGTCTTGCAAGTCGTCCATATAATTTAACTGAATAATAATGTCAAACTAAATGTATATTGACATTAATCATCAAATCACAGTTATGAACACCGGTTAAATACTTGTATAAATGTAGAATTATGTGGATTTCTAAGAAATGCTCGATATTGTTCGACAATGTCAAATAGATACAGATAATAAATATAACTGTTGACTTGAAATATTCAATACTTTTAATATTTCAAATGTTCTAGACGTTTCATTAGACACTGCTTCTGATTCATGAGTGGCTATATACGTAAAAAGAAATTATCTAATGCGAATATTTTGCATTTTTATTTGACTACGTTCATGAAAGAGTAATCTTCATCGTACAACGCGAAGTTATACTACAATTCCTTATCATTTTGCCGATCTGAATAATAGAGATTCTTATGAAATGGTTATAAACAAAAATTAAGAAGAATCGACTAACACAAGACTTAATAGTTTAGTTATTCAAAAGACTTACCGAAGGCTGAAAAATTCTCTGCACGCTTCCGGAAACTGCCTTTTATTCAGTTTCTTATGTGTACAATGGGACACTGTAATAAGGTTAAAAAAAACTTTCAAATTATCGTTTTATTCACACATAACGTACCTAAAAATTTCGAAAGCTTAGTGCAAGGCAGTTCTTCAGTCAAACATGTTCTTTAAAAAACTTTGTAGCTTTCGATAAGGATTTTGAACAAAATATTTTTACACAGCTTTATGGTAGAACCTTTGCTCTTTCAAACAAGAAAACTATCGAGTCTCTACGAAGAGTTGTCGTTACTCTCTATTGAAAACTTTTTTATAATAATGTTTCAAACAATTCTAACATTTAATGATAATGCAGTGCGATAATATTTCTTTCGAAAAGGAACAGGAACCACGAATGTTTTTTTTTTGTATCTATACACAGAATAAATTGTGTTACTAAGTTTTAATGGTAGACACAAGTGAGATCTTCAATATATTGACATGCTGATCTGAAGAAAGTATATCAAAATAAGCAAAGGAATAATTAGATGCAGTTGGTTAGTACCTTCTTGTACAAAAAACTAACAAATGTTTAGTATTCACTAAACACATGGGATTCTGCACTGTTCTTCGATTAAATCATCAAGTATTTAAATCGTTTTATTTCTTATATTAACAAGAAAATCAAATCACAAAGCCTGAACTATAGAGATAAAGTCAAAGAGAATATGCAAACGCTGAAATTCTCTCAAACAAAATTCGCTTTCTTTTCATTGGTTAGCATAGTTCTGCAGAGGAAAGAAGCAAGTAGAGAATATGAAATCTTGCGTAATTCAAATTTTCTATCAGATATAAAATTGATTATATTTTTTAACCCTTTTTATACCGACCTTACCGAAGTTATTATATAATATGATTTTTAAGATTTAACGACTGACCTACCAACAGAATAAATTGTACTTAAATAAATGCCTTTTCTTTTTCTGGTTGTTTTATTTCTTTTTCTCTTTTTTTTTCGTGTTCTTCTTTTTCTTTTCGTATTCTTTTCATTTATATCGTTTTGTTTCTTCGTCAGGCAGTTGACTACATTACGAACGATGACGTCATGTGACACACTATCGCCAGGCAAATTTGCCAAACATATTCTCTACCAAATATGTCTTGGTTTTTCATGTGCTATACGAGGTTTTATTCTTTCATGGAATAATACTTGTAAGTGATAATTTTTCTATAAATATGAAATTCAAAAAAAAAATAACAAATTTTAGATGTATGGCAAACACAAAAACGTTCACTTTTATCACTTATTGTTTGTACAATTATTATCTATATTATACTTGTTATTATCTTTCTACCATTTCGTTTAATTGTTTGGCTTATTTCATTTGCTTATAAATTTGCACCATCAATAACGGAATGGTTCGAAGATGTTTCATCAGCACGAGCACTTCTATTTAAACTTCTATCATTTATACCACTTCTTGCTGTATTTATTATGAATAATTTATTAGGTACATAAAATGATTTCTAATCTAGATATTTTTATAAATAAATATATTTTTTTAATACAATTACTAATAATTTTTTTTTTTTCCATAGGATATGATAAATTATTCTTTTCTGTTCTTGCTTCTGTTAATCCATCATTAGCCGAACATCTTAATTCTCGTGCACGTCAATCATTTACAAGTTCATTATATTTCTTTGCTCGTCGTACTCTTTTAATCTTTGCTACTGTAGCATGTATTCATTTTCTTCGTTCAATACCATATTTAGGTCAACTTATACCAGCTCTTTGGGTATTTAAATATGCACGTTATACAATAACAAATACAAAACATGTTTATTTACGTACAACATTTTTTATTCTACTTATTCTATTAACAATTTTTAAATCACTTCATTCATATACCATATCAATATTACATTTACAAATGGCAAGCACAGCTTTAGCTCGAGAATTATTTGATACATATTTATCACGTATACATACACATACATTAAAAAATCGTCATTCAATAAATATTAAAACATCTCCACCACCATCAAATTATCAATTTTTAGGTTTTCTTGTTCCAACATTATTTCATCCGTTATTTAATCGACAGCAAACTAATTCTAATATTGATAAATCATTTAATGAATTAGTATTACCACATAAAAAAATTACACATTTTTTACGTGAAAATTATTTTCTTTTACTTGCATTTGCATTTTCATATATATTTGTTTTTTCAATTCCATTATTAGGTTTTTTTTGTGTAGGATTTGCACATGGTGCTGCTGCTTACACACTTGCTGTTATTACACAATAAATAATAAGAAAACTAAGTTTTATTTTATTTTAGATAGAGAAAAATAAAAGACTATTTTTCATTTATGGATCGACAAGAATTTTTTCAATCATATATGGATCATTGGGGTATAACTGATGTATTATTAGATTGTTATGTTGATTTATTAACTATGGAAATGATCGATGAAAATAATAATAATAATAATAATAATAATAATAAAATGACACCGATGGCTTTTTTTAAACAAATACTTTCTGAACATCACATCAAATGTAAAGAACAACAAGTATTTGAAGATGAAATTCATCAATTACAAGAAGAACTTAAACGAATAAGAAATAAATAATCTTCGTTTTAAATATTATTGTATTATTTTTTTTTTGTATATTATTTTTGTTTATTTGTTTGTGATATGGAGAAAATATAGAGATATTTGAAATAATAACAAAGTGATGAATCATATGAAATTCACAATAACTAACTAAAGCATCTACCACGTGCAACATAAATCGAGTCAGAGAGAAAGATGAATAAATAGGACGAATCATAGAATATATTTTATTCGTTCATAGAATTCAACTAAGGTTGGCAAGGGCACACGAACAACGACAATAGAAACAGTAGTTAACATAACAATGTATGGACGAAAACGAAATAGTAAGTTTTATTTTCAATCAAAACTAATTTTCATATATATATGAGATTGGATTATTTAATAGGTATAACATCATATTCACAATACAGTGAAGATGAGCATGACGAGTAAAATTTTATTTTTCCTTTATTTTGTTTTTTTTTTTTGGAAAATAAATTTTTTTTCATAGACTTTCAAGTATAGATTCTACATTAGTCATGTTAGTTATACATAATCTTGATCATATGATGCAACCACATGAATGGGAAACATTATTAACTCGTGAAATTCATGGTGCTCGTGTTAGTTATTTCTTTCTGTTTCTGATTAGTTCTATAAGAAAATTTTTTTGTTTATAGATTTTAGGTGTGATTGTAGTTCGTGAACCATCATCGTCACGTCCATGGGGAGAAGGTGAATTAACAGCATATATATTTACTCGACATGATGCTTCCCTAATTCGACAATATTTACATAATCGACGTCTTGGTTTTCGACGTTTACATGTCGATACAGTAACAAGTGAAGGTGGTATTGAAGTTTTTCTTGTGTAAGTGAATATAATATACACAAGTACAAACATATTCTAGTGTATTTCTTTTTTGTAGACACAAAATTCTTCAATTACTTAAACTCAATCCACAAATATCTGACATTACCATCGAGCAACGTCTCAATAGTTTTTTTCGACGGTTTGTTTTTTCTTGTATTGATGTAAAAACAAAAAGACATTGCGTTTTTGTTTTTCTAGTGTTCCATTAACAGTACGTCCACGAGATTATGATCGTACAACTGTTATGCGTTTAATTCACGAATGTATGGGTTTACCAGCATCACCGCCAGCAACAAGTGAAGATAGTGAAATTGATAGTGATTCACCACCGTTACGTTCTAAGCCGATGGTACAACGAGCACAACAACAAACACCGATACAAATACCACCAGAACAAGATCAATCTGTTTCAAGTCCACAATTGATTTGTATTGATGAATGTACAATGCAACTTCATTTTACTCCGTTTTATTTTGGTAAGAGAAAAAAAAAATTTTTTTTTTTGAGTTCTTTTGTATTTTTCTTTTTCTTTTAATAGAACTTTTGGAAGCTATGTCGGTTAGTGGAATAAATAATGAAAATGATCAATTGTTAGATGTTAGACTTTTCTAATGTTTTTCTTTTTTTTATCACTAAAGATTATTGAATTCTATTTTTTTTTTGTTGAATGTATTAATGCTTTCTTTTTTTTCCGTATATTGTGTGGTGAAGATTTAGTCGTTGTTATGATATGATATTGACTTTTCTCTTTTTTTTTTTTCTAAGTTTTTAAAAATAGTATATCTTAAACAACAAGTAAAGTGTATTATATGCAATGAATAGACAAATCTGATAATTCACAAAAATCCTAAAAGACTGAAATTCTAATAACCTAAATTCTCTTTAACTTAATAACTAACGTTAGCTATTAATATCGTATTTCAACTCACAATTAAGATTGAAAATCTAACCATCTATGATGTATTAAGGATTTTTAAAGAGCACGATGTACTTCTCTAAGATATTCATTTAGTTTGCTCTCACGAGAGAACTCTTTTAACGGATGATCTTCATTCGAGTTCATGTTTTGATGACTGTTAGGAACAATAGTATAAATAAAAGTACTATGAGATTACGTGCCATTAGAACTTTCTTCTTGAATTATAATCATTTGACTAAATTTTTAGCCTATTGTAGAATATTACAACAAAAACCTAAATTAAGGAACTTTATCAGAACATACACCTCATAGTTCTTATAATATTCTGATAGTTTTAGCAAAAGTGGATACTTCTGTCACAAGATAATAGATTTGCACAACCATTAATTTCTTGCACAAAAGATTTGAAAAACCTCTCATTTTAAAAGTATGATCAAATCCTAGACTAAAATTTCTTGATTCAGTTTTATTTATATATATTCTGTAAGTAATTAAAAGTTCAGTAAAATAATTATAACTCGAAGGAGAAAAAGTTAATGATACATATCCTCTTAAAACTACTATCTGTACAATAGACCTTAACAATCAGCAAAATATGAATTCTGTCCTGTGTATAAAAAATATTTCAATCACTATGTACTCTGTTACTGCCACTTTGTTTGAAAACAGGTATATAAACATCATCATAGATTACCAAATTCATATTTCTTCTGCATGTAATATCATGATATGATGTAGGTTTATAAATCTTTCCTTTCGATGCCTCAATATTATCACAAATATGTTCGTATATGAACTACTAGTCTGTGTTTTTATAAAAAATCATGGACAAAGTTTCAAATAACTTGCACGTTCATGTATAACACCCAATGCATTGAAGCATATTTTGCAAGTAAGCGGAAACTTCTAAATACTTCACGCAAATACTTATGTTTTTAAAAGCTTTGCCACTTGATTGAGAGTATGAAATATATAATAAAAAAAATTGTGTGTGTCATACTTTTAATTTATATTTTTTTAAATAAAACATCACATGTTGTAATTTTATACGATCAAGAACAAAGTCTAACGTCTAAGTCATCAAATACACGCAGTATTAAATCGTAGAATTCAAACATCAACATTCTCATTATTCCGTCAATCAAAAAAACAAGGAAGCAGAACTTGAAACGAAAGTTGTTCTCAAATATATGTATTTATATAGAAAGAATGTATGAAGTGAGGGAACGCTGTGTGATTAATAACACAATCTACATGTCATGCCGTTACTATGTATTAAAAAGAACGAAGAAACATATTTTTTTTTATTTGACAGTAAGTTTCACATAGTAACATACATATATAAAAATGTACTTTCATGAATCGGATCTTTTTCCATATGAACCAATTTCTCCTATATTGATGATTATTTATATATTATCATCATATTGGTTCTTTACTATACTCAATCAAATGATAATACCAAATAAAATTGATAAAACAAATTGGTTAAAATACAATATATTACTTAGTTGTATTCATGCTGCTATTTGTTCATTATTATTAATAATAGGTGTTTTACGAGCACCAGAAATATTCCAAGATCCATTATCACATGCAAATCATTTTAATTATGCATTAATTTCATTTAGTACAGGATATTTTTTATATGATTTTATTGATTGTATAAAAAGTTCAACATCATCAACAATTGCATTTCTATTTCATCATATTATTGTTATGGCATTTTTTATTCATGTTCTTTTTTATACACGTAATATTGGTTATGCTATATATGGTCTTTCAATTGAAGTAAATAGTTTTTTTTTACATGCACGACGAGTTTTACGTTGGCATTCACCAATATTCAAATCGATTTATTATAACAATCTACTTAAAATATTTATTGATATTGGTAATTATATAACATTTATATTATTTCGTTTTGGTATTGTTATTGTTGGTTTACGTGCATTATTTATTCAACGAAATCGTCTTAATCCATTTGTACTTATATTTACTACAATGGCTTCTTCCGCTATAGGAATTTTAAATATTGTTCTTTTTTATCGTTTAGTTAAAAATCAACTTATGAGAAAACTAAAAATTAAACAAGAAAAACAAAATGAAGATACTATTTCGATCGCTAATAATGAAATTTTATTACCAAGTTAGTTATAAAAAACAAAAATTAAATTAAAATTTATTAGAACTTGGATTATTTGTACATATTGAATAATGACAAAATTTTACTTGTAAATAATAGGTTGATTTGATTTAAGTGATAGAATTAATTAACTCTCGAGCAGAATCGGTTCACAATAAATTGATCGATGTCAAATTTCACATAAGATAATATGTGATAATGATTTCGGATCGACTTGTGCATCCAAAATTGAACCATATTAAACTCTGTTCTCGAGTCAAACTTTATAATTTAAAATGTACGAGACTTAAATTTATATTTACATGTTCTATTATATCATAATGAACAATTTTTATTTTGATATTAATCAAAACAAAATGTATGGAACATTCATTGGTTGAAATAAATCGGATTAACAAAATTTATGCCACTCATTTTTATTCATAATTAGCTGTGATCCTAAGTACTCTATAATTATCATATTGAGTAATATTTTGAGTATATATGTAAAATTAACTAACGAAGAGAATCACCCAAATTGATGCCTGACTTCTAAGCTCATGTCAAATTAGTATCGTTTTACTGTATTTGGCGCAGCTTTAGATGTATATCGAATAATAAAAAAAAAAAAAAATAGAATTTCGATGTGAATTTTACTCATAGATAAGTCGAATGACCTGTAAAATATTCTAAAATTTCAAGATATCAAATTTCCAAAATATGATTGTTTGTCACAGACATGATACAGATAATCGAATTCATTTGAAATAAATCTCGAAAAAACAATCAGTAACAGAATTTTGCAATAACATCTACTTTTAATATTTGATTTAAATTTCAGAAGAAAAGAAAATTGAATTGTAAATTTTTTTTTATATATATATCAATTATATCTCTTTTAATATTTCTTCTCAGAAAGTCGTCTTTTAATTTTTTTATAAAATTATATATTTTTTTTTTTTTTTGTAAATCTTAATACATCGATTTTTTTCACAACAAGCTTCAAATGAATAGTTGAAGAGAAACATTTTTATAAAGTAATCTTATGTCGAATTTTTATGATTTCAAGTTTTAGTTCTCCAATAAGGGTATCTTTTTCGATGCAATTTTTTCCATTTATTATAATAAATAAAATCATCTTAAATTGAACGATCGAATGGATTTAAATGTGACATTTTCATTAGTCAATGTATTTTATTCATGAAAAGAGGAAAAGTTATTCTGGTATTACAACACGGGGACATATCATGCTCAATAAGTATATAGTCCTATTAAAGTACCAATAATATTTGAGTATGAAATCTTCGGGATAGATTGAAGATTTCATCAAGACAATGCGAAACTTCATATCATTCAATTAATACAATAAGAATACCAAAATAACTTTTCCTCTTTTGTGAAACATGATTTAAAAGTAGAGTAAAAATTTTGACTCTCCTCCTACAGACTATGACAGACATTTTTATTAATATCTTGTTAGTAGCTAATTGATGTCTAATTAAGAACTAATTAGATACTAGCTAATTACTAATTATCACTAATTAATCCCGTCACAGACAATGACAGACAATCCGAGACCCTGTCACTAACGATGAAAGACGTTGTTGAGATACGATCAAAAACCATATAACAACAATACCTCATTATAATATATGAACTATTTTCTGATTTCATTTCTGAAGAAATAAGTAAAAAGAAGCATTTCAATCCCACAAGGATTACGCTAACGGCTTTTTCTCAACAAGAACAATTGATTATTGAATAATTTACATTTTATGCTCATCTGAAGCTTGTTATGGAAAGTAATCAGTATTATGCAGATTTACAAAAAAAAAAAAAACACGATTTTCTGAAGATTTAAAAAGGTATAATATAACTGTAGAGACACTATATAGAATGAAATAAGCGAAGAATTGATTATCAAACCCATAAAGGTTGTCTCATAATAATTGACGATAAATTGTCAATGACATTGTTTATACTTTCTTTTTGACGTAGAAGGCTGAAATTTTTATCACAAATATATATATATATATATATATAACTCAGACATTTAACTTTTTAAAGCTTCAGCTCTCAAGCTACATATCACACAACAACCTGAGCTATTAGTTACATGGTTTGTAGCACAATTGTTTTATAAACATACAGAACCAATAGAAAAGGACGGTCAATTTTATGATGTATGAAGATAATTGACCATTTTTGACGTATACTGAAAGAAAAACGTTTGTGAAAAGTGTTTGATACATTCGTTCCAATTATCGAAAGAAATAGTTCAACAATTGAATAAAGTTTCTTGCCATCAGGAATTTATAAACATCCCTAATTAAGTACGAAAATTCATGTATTTCAGTATTAGTTTTAGCTAGAAAGTTCAAAGTTTGAAAAACTAAAGGTCTTAACTAGATAAATATATAATAAAAATTTCAAGCTTCTGCATCAGCAAAAATATACGAAGAACGTCATTAAAAATGTGTTGTCAGTTATTATTAGACACTTTTTACAAATTCGACTTAATGTTAAGACTGTAAATTCAAATAGAAATATTAACTACCATTGGAAAAATAAATTGATGGCAACAAATTTAAAAAAAAACGCAAACTTGTCATTAAATTTTCAACATCTTTATGGGAACAATATTTTGTCATTCTGTTCAATCATCACAAAGAAACTAATATGAATAAATACAAGTTCATTTAACCATAACGGACACATGGATCATTATCATTCAAATTATCTTTTATCATTCGATATTATTACTTATAATCCATATAAAGAGTTTTATTCACATCAATCATCGACAACTGTATTGACAACAGTTGCTACATCTTATCATCAACTGTCACATACATAACATTTCAATGCATCCAACAAATCTTTATCCAATGTAGAGTAATTGTTGTTGTTCTTTCTTTTTGTTGAAATTACATTTTAAAAAGAAATCAAAATTTTAAGTCTTCAATCATCTTATAATATGTTTAATACCTAACAAAATGATTTTAATTCTTCACTATTTTCTTTTACAACTTCAATAGTAACAGTATGTTTATTGCATAATAAAAGAAAATAAAGAAGTATGTGAACATCATTTATTAGTTTACAATTACAAGAACTTGAAAAATATTTTTAATAAGTAAATAAAAAAAATTTAATTAATTTTTTTTTTTTCAACAATATCAATGAATTAATACAAACAGAATTTTTTTCGTTCCAAACTTTTGTATTACAATTAGATGAATGATTTCATCTTGTTCGCATAGTATTTTTTTTGTGTATTTCAATCAATTTTTAAACTCATTATGCTGATGTTTGTTTTCGTGAAGAAACTTCACATCATATTGACTTAACTGAAGTACGTGTACATGTAAGTTTTATCTTTTTTTTTTTACAAGTATTGTTTATTGTTATATGCTATTGAGTTTTTTCGTGAATAAAAATAATTTATTTGAAGTATATATAAACGAAATATATTTTACGTATGGTTTCATAATCGAAGAGCTAAATAGTGTAAACATGAATGATATAAACAATTTATCAAATTACAAAATACTTTCATAAAATTTAATAAAACTAAAGTCATTGATATAAAAACAAAAAAAGAAGAATTCAATTTAATAAACAAAAAAAGTTGAAATGTAAAACTCACATATATTCTATAGTCTTATTATACTAATATAAAATGCGTGTAGGATAAAACATCTCTGGAAGACTTTAGGTATTTTTCAAGAAAAGTCAATTGTCTGAAAAATAATCTTTTATTTATTTCTACATTTTGAATAGAAAATATTTTACTGATATTACTAATTCCTCGCTAGTTTTCCATTTCGTATTCTGTCTTGTCTTAGTTATTATTTGAACGATTGATTGAAATGGCAGATAGATATATCCTACATATCCATTATATCTACAGTAAGTATCAATCCACTCTTATATATATATATATATCGATAAGCTAACCGACACTAATATTGATATTTTTCAAAATTGTAATGTGATCGATACACGCTTTTTATGTTGATTAAACGAAGACTGGCAAATCAATGCGTGACTACTCATCATCCTTGACATTTTAAATATAAATTTTTATCTGTGCAACAATCAACGACTGCATTATTTTAAATATTCGCTAGCGTATTTTAGTTATTTAAATTGCAACAAAAGTTTTTAAATATTCTTCAATAGTTGAAGTTTTGTTGTTAAATGTTGTTCAGCATCTTTTTTTGTTTTTATGCTGGAGAAACTTAGCAAAAGAAGCCTGATGATTGTCATCCTCGGTTGCTAAGATGTGTAATTGAGAGTTGCAAAACTTTGACTATAAAACTTTGACTATTGAATTCGAAAATAGATGTGAATTTCACGAGAAACAAAACAAATTTCTTGAATTATTTTTGTATCAATTCCTTAATGATACATAGAAAGAGAAGAAAAAAATCTTTCACATCTCTCAATGTAATATAGAGTAAGCACAACTAGAGATAAATCATGTCGTACAACAACAACAAAAAAGTGAGAAAAAGAGAAAATGAAAACGTATCATTATCGTTCTCATTGTCATATGGTTAACTGCTGTTAGTTTTGTATTTAAACATGGATGAATAATTGATATTGCAAAAACAGAACGTTACTTTTTTTTTTCATATTTCGCATATATAACCATGTTTAATGGTGCAATCATAGCATATTATACTCAAGCAAAAGTCGCCGTTTTGTACTATAACTTTGACCATGAAAGCAAAAAAAAAAAAGCGTGCTGTTATAATAAAGAAAAAGATAGACGATAATCAAGTTTCTTTTTACTCTGACTAGTATTCAGGAGGTATATATATCTATGTTGAACAAACGAATGCGATCGGAACAAATTGACAAGCTCCGCTGTTTTTAATAAGACTATACTTCAAATCATTGTTCTTTGTATGTGTTCGTTCGTTACGTAGATATTCATCTACTCATTCATATTGATGACAATGATAGTATGCATAGGAGAATAAAAGAAAGAGGAGGAGGTGAGACACACGAGACCTATTTCAATACAGAATATGTCTATCTCACACTTATTTGAAGGTAAATCGTGAATAAGGACAAGTTGTAATTATAGTATTCTAATGTCTAGGTTTCTTTTTTTTTGCCGTATTATCATATTCGTCGTTTGTTATAGTTGACGGAGAAAATGTCCATTAGACAAAGAATGTAGACTTTCGATATGCCGTTTTGTACTCTATTGTTTAAATTTATATGCAATATTAAACAGAGAAAGAGAAACGAATAGTCTTTTCTTCTCTTACATTTTATTACTGTATATTCGAGTTCTTTTTATTAAAAGAGTAGTTGTGTCAGAAAATTTGTTCGCTATTCTATTTATTTGAATCAAATGTTTCATTAAATATCGCTATATATTTTTTTTTTTGTTTATTTCAGTCTTCATATCAATATCGACACATTGACGTCGGTGACAAAACGATTATTAAAAGCTAATAACAAATCAACAAAGTGATCAATGAATGATCATTCATATATAAGCATCGAATAAATTTCAAACATCATATAGAGAAGAATGATAGTATACAATGAATCAACCAAAATATATGATTAACTGACACTTATTACCGACTATCTATTGAATAAAAATTTTAATTCAATAGATATATATATATATATATTTAAATCACAATGCTAATAAAAACTCAACCGATAGCTCCTCTAGAAACCATTTATGAGGAGTCAGGTAGTTTTATTGCATCTACTGCTGATATTGAACGTCAACTGAATAATCATCTACATATAAATGAGACTTTTAATGGTCTCATTAGTGCTCGTTCAATACCAACAGTTGATATTCAACGACAACGAATACATGAAAATCAAAAAAAACCTCCTATAGAAGTTCGATTTCGAGATGGATCGAAACGTTTTATACCTCCATCATCAAAAAAATCAACAGCGATGATAATGAATAGAAGAAAAATATTGAATTCTTCTCATGATAATTTATCATCAAATAAAAAACATCATATTAATTCTCAACAAATATTTCATACAAAACATCAAACAAGAGCTCCATTAGTTATAACAATAATAACAGCTGAGGATTTGCATCAAGCTGGAATGACACCAACAATATCTTCATCATCAGACGACTCCGAACGATCAACAGTAGCTCACTCATTATCGAAATCGTCAATTGATACTGTACTTACAGTGCAAGATATTCGTCAAGGTTAATTTTACATATATATCTTCTTTTTTTTTTATTTATTTTACAATTCAAAAGTTTCGAATGCAATAGTTAGAATTTAAATAAATTCGATGTTTATAAATTTTTCTTTTTTTTCTTTTGTTTTAGGCTCCATGGAACGATTGCCAACTGCATCCATAAAATCATCACTACAATCAGTTGACAATGGTTCAGCAATAAGTCTTAATACTCCTGCTAGTTTTATACAACATTCTCAAAAGCAACCTACTGTTAATAATAATCGTCTAAGTTCAACATCATCACAAACATCTTTCTGTTCGACTAATGGATCGTATACTGTATCTACTCAATTATCAACAAATTCGAGTCCAAAAACAGTTGCGTCATCAGTTCAAGTCTCATTAAATAGTGATGAAAATAAAAAAAAATTATCAATGAATTCGAATATTTCAAATATTATTTCTTCTACTAAACAATTTAATAATGAAACAGTGAATCATACAAATCAACCACATGCAACATTATTACCGGGAGGTGGAAGTCGTAGTGCATTTCGTCCTTTTCATAAATTGGTAGGTTATAGCCAACAATCACTTCCTAACATGTCACAAGCACCATTTATTGTCAATGAAAGATCTAATCATTCTCCACAATCACAACAAGAAACAGTTTCACATTTTAAGTTTGATTATCAAAAAAATCTCTCAATATTATCATCATCAAATTCAACAAAAGTATCATCTCAATTACCTTCAACAAATCTTAATTCACTTTTTACAAAACGTTCTTATGATTCAACAATATTAAAACAAACTGTATCAGATACAACAAAAAATGGATCAATAGATATTAATTCTTTATTACAACAAATAGTAAGTTGATTATTATTTTTAATATCTATATAACAGATCATATTTGAAAAGAAAAATTAATCTTATTTAAATATTTGTTTAGTTTAAAATTGAATTAAATATTTTTCGTTTTTTCTTTATTTTTAGAATCTTTCAAACTGTCAAAAGTCATCACATCTATCATCAATATCAACTGTAAAAAAACCAGATAATGTTTTCACAATACAAAATTTATTCAATATTTCAAATAATTCGAAAGATACTCTTTCAGTACCAGTCAATTCAAATATGGAATGGTTTAATGTCACATCAAATTCGATTAAAGAAATACCATGTCTTTCAACAAAATATTCTCGCATTCCATTACGTGTAACATTACCTGTTGTAACTCCAACACATAATCAAAAATTAGTAATGAAACATGATAGAGCATTAGAAAATCGTCTTTTAAATGCTGGTTTATCACCTGAAACAGTTGCACTTTATGAAAGAATACTTAATATTGCTGAAAATCCTCCATTATTGAAATTATCACCACGAACTATTATCAATCAATATCCAACAAAACACTTCATATAGAAAAGAAAAGAAAAAAATATCTATGATATTATTATGAAAAATTTTTTTTTTACCTTTTTCTTGTTTTTGTGACAAACAACGAGGATTTCTAATTTTATTAGTTTATTTTTACATGAACGTAGAATTTCTTTTCTTGTTTTTTTTTTTTAAATCCATCTTTTGTTTTTATTGAAAGAAAAGAAAAGATTGAACACCGAAGTCGAACTCTTTGTTTCTATACACTTGCGGCAAAAATTATTCGTACGATATCGATGACGGTGAAAATTTTTTCTTTTTGAGTTAAAAAAAAATTTAGTGACAAAAGTCATTAGATGTAGAAAACAATAATGAAGGATATAAATATTTTATATCTTGCATTTTCTTTTATCTATAGACAGAGTTAATGGACACACTATGTTCAAAAGTTATTGATCAACATCAAAGTAAAATCAAACCGAACGTTGATTTGCTTTTTTTTTATTCACCAATTGATATCTTCAAACAAACAAAAAATATCCTTATTAATGGATGACAATGTAAGAAAATAATATTTTTTCTTTATTAATTTTTTTTCATTTTTCAATAAAGAAAGTAGAATTACTCTATGATTGAAAATGGTTGTGAAATAACTGTTATGATGTTCTCGAATCAAAACTTATTCACAGTCTATTTTGAAGTAAAAATATTTTTAAACACGATTTTTAACTTTACTCATTTCTAATCGACGAGTAATTTATCTAAATCAAGAAAGGTTGAATTAAAAATTTCTATGATGATAATTTAATGTAATTAAGGTGGGAATAATCCAAAATTAAAGCAAATTTTTTTTTTCTTTCTTTTATACACCATTAGATAGAGCTCGTCGAGCTGAGTAAGAATATATGTCTTTGAATTTTTTTTCGAAATGATTATGTGAAAAANTCGGGGTCTGTTTGTAAAATTCCTATAAAAACTGAAGGCGTTGTTGCACAGGGCTTGGGTATGTCTCATTTTGTAGAGCGATGTTTGGTCTATCTTTTGATAGGTTAGGCCTCATGATTCAGCTTTTCACTTAAGAGCTGAAGGTTTTGAACCAAAAGTGTTTGAAAGTAACGAAAAAAAGCTCGGTACATGCCTACTCATGAGCTCTTTATTGACCAAGAATAATTTTTGATTTCTCTCTATGGTGCATACTAACAAATGAGTGTTCCTACAGATCAAGATTTGAAAGTACCTTCTATATAAAAAGAAATTTCTTTTTTTCGATAGATATGAACACGAATTATTCTAAAGTTTTCATTATCTTATAGAAATTTTTCTCAAAATTTATTGGAAAAGAAACACGAATAAAATTTTGTTTACGATTTTTTTTTTCTTCGGTTCAGAACATATCAAGACCGTGTCTTGAAGATATCTCAACATTTAGTCTTATGACAGCTCATAATCGAAGTTCTAACTTATGCGTGTAATGCTAATAACGTTTTCTATCATTTTCATACTGGACTATTGTTAATGATTGAAAAACTGATGAGAATCTAGTGCAAAACTAACCCGTTGGAATATGATTAGAATCAGACTGATTAGATATGAATGTCAAGAACATATTACTGCATTAGTTTATAGAATAAATATCAAAGTATATAATTCAGATAAACTTAATTTCAATGTCTTGTACATTTTAGGTTACTTACGATTTAGTGTTTCATGGATCTTACTTGTTGTATTTATATATTTATTTCGTCAACATCAACGAGCACAATTTAAAGAAAAACATAAAATGCTTAATGAAATAAATGATAATGAAGAACAATATGTAAAAGCTCGTTTAGATGAATTACCATCATGGGTATATCAAAAAAAGAACCAAAATCGTCAGTCTTTTAAATATTCATACTTTTAATTATAGGTTTTCTTTCCTGATGTTGAACGAGCTGAATGGGTAAATCGAATAATAAAACAAGCATGGCCATATGCAAATCAATATCTTGATAAAGCAGTTTTTCATGATGTCATGATTCCAATGATTCGTGGAACTTCACCAGCTTTAGCAGATTTTTCTTTTGAAAAACTTGATCTTGGCGAAATTGTACGCTATCAAATATTCTATTATTTATTTTTATAATAGATCTTGTTTTTTTTTTTATTATTATTTAGCCACCAAGAATTGGTGGTGTAAAAGTTTATACGGATAATGTTCGAGATCAAATAATGATGGATATTGAAGTTTTGTATGTTCATAGTTGATTATTTTTATTTTTATATTTTATAAAATTATTCATTTAGTTATGCTGGTGATGCACATATTAAAGCTAACGTAAAAGGAATTGTATGTGGAATTAAAGATATACAATTCGTTGGTGATATACGAGTTATATTAAGTCCATTAATTAATACGATACCATTAATTGGTGCTGTTACTTATTTTTTCCTTCGTAAACCAGTAAGAATGGAAAATTTTATTTTATTTTATATGTTATTAAAATATTTGTAGAGTATTGATTTTAAATTAACAGATGCTGGAACTTTAGTAGATATACCTGGTCTTAAGTAAGACTAAATAAATAAATAAAAAAAAAAACCAAGTTGGGAAATAAATATTTCTTATTTTTAATAGTGATTTAATGCTTGTTCAAATAAATGATATTGTTGCATCAATGATGGTTTTACCTAATCGACAAGTTTTTCCATTAGTTTCTGATTTACAAATTGGACACTTAAGATGGTCAAATCCTCAAGTAATTATTTATTAATAGATTTAATATAAAAATCTTATTTTTATTTTTGATTAGGGTGTTGTTCGAGTTGTTATTATAAAAGCAAAACAACTTGTTCAAGCTGATGTAAAACTTCTTGGTACAGGAAAAAGTGATCCATTTGTTAAAGTTAAAGGTACAATTTAATTAGTTGAGAATTTTTTTTAAAGATTTTTCTTTTGATATTGTAGCTCAAGGTAATGTGGAATATAAAACAAAAACGATTAATAATTCAACAGAACCACAATGGAATGAAGTATGTATGAACAATTTTTTTCCAAATGATATTGGAATATTTTATTTTGAATGTAAGGTATTTGAATTTGTTGTTGAACAAGCTGAAAGTGATGCAGTGGAATTTGAAGTATATGATGAAGATCCTGGTAAAGATGATTTTCTTGGAAGGTAAATTATAATTATACATTCTTTGTCACACATTTTTTTGCACTACCGCCAGTATACCGACATTGAATTTACAGTCACAACTAAGATTTTAAAAGTCAACACCTGTGTTTTGGCTAATGCATTTCTCTCATTAAAAAAAAAAGACAACCAGATTTTCGAAAACACTCGAAATTGTCTTTGAGATATAGTCTAAAGTATCTTCAAAAACATGTCCAACCGAATAATAAAGCTCTCTCTATGTAATCAATATTGTAGATATGTTGAGGCAAGTATCTTTTCCAGAACTATTAGATGAAATTGTAATATGTTGTTTAATTCTTAATAAGATCATGTTTTACAAATATAAATTCGAAAATATCATATAGTGAATTGTACAATTGATATTTTGATTGTATTTTCTCCATACCAATTTTTAAAGTTTGAAAATAGTTGATGATTATTTCTTTTGACGAGATAAATTTTTAGTTAGGAATAGTAAATATTGTTAATGATAGAAAGAAAGTACATACTTTAAACACATAACTATTTATGCACAATAATTTTTCGATAATGTTCTTCAAGCAACATCTAATTTGAACAATTTATTAAATTCTCATGATGTTAGAATATTCTTTTGATTATTCAAAATGACTTGTAGTTTTACAGTAGTGATCATCATCAAGCAGAAAAATGAACCGTTGAACTACTCTAAAAGGACACCACCGGATAAGCTTGTAAATCTACAACCCCGTCCCCGTCACCTTTTAGATCTCATTTTCAATAGAATAGAAAGCTAAAGTATGGAATTCTGCACATATCTGTGTATGTATTATTATTACTTTTGTTACATACAAAAGAGAAATTTCGAGGACTAAATAGTCTGGGAAGTTTATCACTTTTGAACGTTTCGGATAATAACTGTGATATCCTTCATTTTTCTACTATGAATCCAATGTTAAAACTAATAGTATAGATTGACATGGTTTTTCATACTCTACCAAATGGCATAGAAATTATGATCATCGATTTGTGTATTTAGAATTAGACAGGTACGATATCCCACCTGTATGATCCTATATGATCTAAGGCAGAAATTAATTGTAAATATGATCATTATGTCAATTTATAGAACACTGAAAATTGCGCCGATCTACACTATTCATTTTCATGTTCAGTTCATAATAGAAAACTTACGCAATGTCATAGTTGTTATTCGAAACGTGTGAAAATGATAGACGCCTAAGATGATTTAGTTTAACAAAAAATTCTTTTTGACTTCAATAAAAAGCAAAATAAGTAGACAGAAATATGTAGAATTTCATGCTCTATCTTTCTATTCTATTGAAAGGAAGATCTAAGGTTGTGGTAGTTAAACATAAATCTCTGCGTAACGAAATCGAACTTTTCATACATTGCTAGCCCAATAGAGGTTCTCTCACTACATGACATTATAATTATAACAGGGTGTTAGTAGTCCCCAAAAATATCTAACAGACATATTTTAGATTACTTGTTAAAATAATATCTTTTTATTTGTTAATTCGTTTTTTTTTTACAGAGCTCAATATCCAATAAATACATTGGTTGGTAAAGAAGCTGTCGATACAGTAAATGAATATTAGTTAAATATTTTTTGTAATTATCTAACTTTATCATTTCTAGTGGTTAACATTACAAGATGTGAAAAAAGGTTCAATAAATGTTTGTCTTCAATATTTTTCTTTAAGTACACAAAAATCTACTCTTGATATTGTAAATAATAAATAAATATTCTTCGTTTTAAATTGTTGATGTTTTTTTTCCTCAAATTTAGATTCAAAAAACTAATAGTCAAATCGGTAGACATGAAACATTGTCTAAAGCACTTCTTGTAGTTTTTATTGACCGATGTACTAATCTTCCTGTATGAATAAATAATAACCTTTTTTCTTATTAATATTTTATTTATTTTAAGAGTTCAAAAAAAACTCGTCGAGAACCAAATCCATTTTGTCGAATTAAGGTTGATTCAACTGAACGTAAAACTCAAACATTTGAAAGTCAAACAAATCCTTTATTTGAACATATATCACACATATTATGTTCGAATCCTATTCAACAACAACTAACCATTGAAGTGTGTGATGCACGTTCAAATAATGAAATCATTGGCACTTTTCAATTACCTATTAAACAAATATTTGATTCGGAATCAATGACTATTGATTCACAAGCATTTCCATTGAAAGGTTTATCGGAACCGTTAGACAACGTTTCAATAGTTCTTCGTTTATCTCTTAACGTAAGTTAATTTTGACAATAAAGTAACTATTCGATATTTATTGTATTGTTTTGCTTTGCTTTGCTTTAGATTTTATTTCCTGGAAGTTCAAGTCCGTTATCAGAAATATCACCAACAGATAGTAATAAATCATTTGATAGTAATACAAAATCATCAACAAATATAGAACAAAATATTACCAAAGACTCATTAACTCAAGCATCATCTGAAGGTGTTTCTTCAGGTCTTGTACATCAAGTAAATAAATGAATCTTTGAATATATTTTGATAATCTCAAACAAAATGAATTATTAAATTTTACAGAAAATTTTAATTATTATGTATACAGAGTTGTAAATTCATTACCTTAAAAACGATGCATCCTTTCAACTAAGATTCATAAAATAATCCGAGAACTTTTATCTCCATATATAAGTAACTTTTCAAATAAAAAATTTTCTTTCGAAAATTTCCTATCAATCATGTTAGTTCTTTGGGATGTGCGTGCCGATGTGAGTCAAGAAAATACGCACACTCAAAAGGTATAAAGAAACTAAACGAACTAATGTGACTAAAATAACTGAAAGTGCAGGAAGGATATCCCTACCATTCGACTACCTTATAATATCGGATGCTGCCTAGCAATAGATAGATCCAGCAGCCCGATATCTTCCCTAGAACTAATAATAGCTATAGCTCTGGTCAGAATGCCATTCTGACGCAGAGTTCTTTGCGCTCAATAACACGAGCTTCTCATACACAATAACTAATCGCAAGAGTAGGTGTGTGTCACAAGGTAGTGGGCATACTATCGAACGGGCAATCCGAGACGAATAGTTGTTAGTGACTTGTCCAGGGTTATTCTATAGCTAGTGGCATTAAGGTTTAAACACAGTACCTTGTTAGTACGTGTCGATCAACGCAGCAATTCAATCATGGTAGTTGCCCTAAAGGGACTAAAGTTCCAAAGATATGCAAGTCATAGTAGCTTGAAAAACATAAAAGTAAAACAGGACAAATTTAATTTCTCGTGAGTCCATCAAATTCTCATAATATAAATCGAATAAGCAAAAACCTACCTCTACAAAAGAAAAGGTTATCTCTCGTTATGGTTCACATCTTCAATTTCCACAATATTCGATATAGATCAATATTTTCTCATATTCGCGTCTCACAAATTAGAATGTCTTCTTGAACATTTATTCCACATTAAGGTGAATCTGTTCTTTTTGTTCAGTTTAAATCTAAGTATAAAGACTAATCAACAATAATATCTTTTTTTGTTTGTATTTATAGCTTATTTCACATTCAGAACCAGACAAAAGCTCATCATTCGACAGCAAAGCTCATTTCATTTCTGATGATCCTGATCTTAAGTAATTTATTACAGCTAAATTTCTTTCTATTCTATTCATTTTTAATTTTGATATCAAGATCAACACCATATGGTATAATAAAACTTGGTATTTGCTATGCTTTTAGTAGAAAATCTTTATCTGTAACTATACATACATGCAAGTTAGTAATATTAATTTTATTTATCATTTATTTATTTGTATTTATTCTTCTAGAAATCTTATTAATGTTCATCGTGACAATTTACCGGATCCATATATACGTGTTTATTTAATGCCTGATTTTAAGAAAGATAAAAAGAAAACAAAATCTATTCATGATACACTGAATCCAGTTTATGATGACTTGTATAAGAAAAACAAAATTTCTTTTCTTTTTCGTTTAATATTCAATAAGTATTATTCTATATAGATTTGAATGGTCAGCGTCATTAGTCGATATACGTCGACAACATCTTTATATAAGCGTTAAAAATAATTCACCTTTATTTAACCAAGAAGAAACATATATGGGAGAGGTATGTGTAACTAAATTATTTGTTTTACAAGGAATATCTTTGTAATATTTATAGATTGAAATTGATTTATCAAATCTTGATCCGGAAAAAACTAGTGTAGCTTGGTATGCTTTACAAGAACCAAATACAAGTGCTGGTGGGGTAATGAAAATAAAATATGATACAAATGACTTAAAAGCATATATTTAAATTATATTACTTAATTTTGCAATATCATATTCTCATATATCTCTCAATATTACGCATATTTTCTGTGACTTCAATCATGCTTTATATTTTTCTTTTCTTCATATAATCTCCTAAAAGATATAGAACCATTTTTATGCTGTAATTTTTTCAATATTTAGATTTTAGAAAGAATACTTATCGATATATCCGATACGGATTAATAAAACATTACGTGCTTATTTTCTAAATGAATACTAACAATTATGTTCTAGTAACATACAATCCATGTCATTTAAGCTAACATGCTGCCAATCTGGCCTGATCGATCCGTCCGCATAAAATTCGGTCTAGTTATTAAGATAGATTTGGCAACTTGAGCACGACTTAATACTAATTTTTACAGTAGTCAACTTAAAACATAAGATGGCACCACAAATTAATGGTTTTGTACACTAACTTAGCAACTTATAATTAGAGTATAGGTTGAGATGTAGTATTTTTCTCACAACCATATCCACACCGAGTTACGAACTTGAATAGTCGAATGTAAATTCCACTTCTACTGCTGTTACTTTCTCTGATGATCTGCATTTTCCTTGTATATCTTCTTTGAACTCTTCGTTGTTTTTCTTGTCATGATTGATTTTTTTCCGATTTTGTGAAAAGTATTTATAATGGTTGTCTCTTTGTTTAAATTTGCTACTATCTTCAAGAACCTGTTACTTTATCACTTTCATGCACATAAATTAAGTGAATAATTGGAACTGATATTATAAATTATTGCAGAATTAGAAACATTAGTCGGCCTGATTTGATCTGCAGGCCANTGTACGTTTTAATCAGAAAAAAATTCTCTACAAGATAGACTAGGTCCCGTCGCTGGCGCCGAACTTCGATGTAAACGTGGTATGTTTCAGATGGATATGCTCTTATGTAAATCTTCTTTCTTGACACTCACTATAAATCGAAATGTCTAGATCGAATTTTTGTTATTCCATACATTACATCTTAAAGTACACATTGTATCACTAACTAATAACTCATCAATGGAAGAAAAATGGCTAAATTCTTATTCAACCAATTCTATTGTGTTTTACTTATAATTTCACAGGATTTTTATTAGAATATTGTTTTATGTTTATAGGCAAAAGAAGATCTTGAACAACAAGGGGTATCATCAAAAGTTGCAAGTGAATATGATGAAGCATTAACAAATCTTCGTAATAAATTAATGGCTTTAGAAATAACACTTGTTGATCAATTAGAAGTAATTTTTCTTAAATTGTATGTATAGATATATATATATAATGTTTCAGGAAACAATTCAAACATTTGAACGCAATTTAGGTGAAATGGTTTCGAATTTTACGGAATCGATGCGTGCAAATTTTAGTCAAATACGTGAATTACAAGCGTATTTTAATGACAACATTGTTACTTTATGTGTAGCTACTGTTGAACGTATTGTGAAAGGTGAATTAGAAGATGAATTTCCTGATGATACACGAGAAGTTTGTAGATTAAATATTAGATCAAGAAAAAACTTTTTAATTTTTCTATTATAGCTTTTTACTGATAAAGATACAATAACGAATGCTTGTCAAACATCCGATGAAGTTCATCGAACAAAAATAGATCAACGTGAAGATGAAATGTTTTCACGTATATCAAATTGGTTAACAACAATGATGGATAATATACATGAAGAAGAAGAATATAAACGAAATCGTAAACGTATTATTGAAATTAGTCGTTTAATTGATTATTTACGAGCTGACATTGAAGACATGTAATAATGAGAACGAAGAAAATAAATCATTTTTCCTCTTTTTTTTTTTTTTTTTCTTTTCTTTTTGTTCTATTCAATTAATAAATATTATAAATAAAAAGAGAAAGATGAAGAGAAAAGTACTTATTAGTTGACAAAGCCAATTAGTTCCAATTCTTTTCTCTCTTTACATTTCCTTCCGCATTACATTTACAAAATGAACGAAGAAATATAATTTTGAAAAACATACAATCATTCAATCAAAGAAACCAATAATCGATGAATTTGAATGCAGGATTTTTTGCTGCTTATTGTTATCGTCGTAAACAACCAACTGTTGCATATCGTGTACCATTAAATAGTCAACAACATCAACATACATCATTTTTAAGAAGTACAAAATCATCAATTGATATTTCAAATGGTAGTGAATCATTTTTACCATCAATACCTACAGCTAAAGATAGTAATAATGGTCAGAGACCATATCGTCGTAATGATTTTGCTAATAATCATTTATTTATTGCTAAACATAAATTAGCACGAATTTTTCTCAATCGACCAGCAACGAATATTCAATCAACAAATGATCTTATTCATTTATTTGATCCATATGAACCAAAACAAAAAAATCGTAGAAAAAATAAAAACAAACAACAAGTATAAATTATATAAATAAGAAAAAGAAATACATAATATATTGTTTTCCTTCTAGGAGAATAAATCAAATAGTAAACCAAACTCAACATTTGATCAAGATATTCCTTTATCTGTTATCAATCTTGTTATGAAACCTTCGTTACCATCATCACAATCGCTTGATTCAATCTCTACAATATCATATCATCGTGCACAACCGATTCATTTTCAAACAAGAACTCCTCGACCATCAATTGCATGGGTAAATCCAGCAATTACACAACATTTTCAATCAAGACCAAATTATTTTATTAAAGATGAATTTGAACCAAATACAATTAATCCTTTAGATTCATCAGTATTATATGTTAAATCAATTATAACTGTAGCTAAGTCAAAACAAGATTGATAATTTTTTTTTGTCTTGTCGTTAGAAAAACAACAAACAAAGATAACAAAAATTTTTTTGTTCTATCGAAATAAATGACTATTATAAAAACATTTTCATTTAAGATTTTCACTGATTTCATCTTGTACTTAACAATGATGTACTATAAATTTTGTTAAGTATCTAAACAAATGTTGAAATAAAATGATTGTAGATTATTCACATAATCATGATCGAGAGCAGTTGTTTTTAATCCCGATCCTAATGAAACCGAGACTATCTTGTCTATATCCACTCAGAAGAATTTCCATTAGTATATATCAATTTTAAACTGTATATCAAAGCAGTAAAGTTCTTCTGTTATGTTTTAATACTGCTTCGACTATACATTAGACATGACGGTATAATATCTTCAATCGAGAATATTGATTTTAAAACTAAAGTGAAGATAATGCAGAACTTATCGATTTTAGTTTTTATCAAGATCGGAAATTAATAAGATTGAACGCAATTATTTAGGTTAAATTAATGTCATCACTGTCTATCCAGCAAGTTTACAATGAGAGTTATATATAAATTCGCTTGAATAAAATCTCTTTGAATTTTTAGGTCTTACTGTGTACTCATACTCTAATCTATCATATTCAACTACAGAATCTGTTCGTGTTTTGTCAATAAGAATTTGCGATCAATTCTTTGCTCTAACATTGTAAAACAAATCAAATATGAGTTCACATCGATTAAGACAAGAAGCGAAATATCTAAGAATATTTAATTCGAATCTTTTGACTATTAATGTACAATTGTCAATTACGTAGAGCGAACATCTCTAATTTTCTCTTTAATGCACCAAAAACATTTTCATTACTATTCTTTGATTAAACTTTTCAACTTCTACTCATAGTGAGTTATAGAGCTTTTTCTTTTAAAAGGCCGTCAAACATTGACAATAATATCAAAAGTAGTGTGATTCTATATATATATATTATTCGAACCGTACAAAAACCGTCGGTAAATCGTCAACAGCGGCAAAATACCAGCAATCAAACGATGGCAGCTTCATACTTCAATGGTTGGCTCGCCTATGAGCTTTATTCTATTGCCAGTATACCGGTGGTAGTGCGAATAAACGTGCAACATGAGCACTGTTGTAGAAAACTTAAATAAGATATCAGATACTTACTCTCTAAAGAATAAGTTCACTATAAAAGGCATAATTGTACGTAATTAGTGTTCGAGTATTGCTACTTACATCGTAAATACATTGAAATTCGATGATTCTGGTACAGATAAGTCATAAGCAACTGTCATTGTAACTTTGTTCGTTTAGCAATAAGAGCGCTAGATTAACCTAAATAAATTCAATCTTATTAAGTTTCAATACAAAACACTTGTCTTGTTAGAATGACTCAAGATCTCTTCCGTTACCATTGGGAGTAGTCAACGAAAATTAATTATATTTTCACACATCATTATACTAGCTATACCGATTGAATATCAAAACATTAGCGACATCTTTTAAAAACTAACATATGATTTAATCTTATTTATTTTTTTTTTCACTTAATTTTCTATATCTAAGAAGTTTTTCTTCAATTATATTTTTCATCTGATCTTTATTATATTTAATTAAACAAAGATAAAGATGCATGTATAGAGAATAGATAATCCATAATGGCCGAGACCATTGTATCGTATATTTTGTCTAAATAATTACTACCTTCATTGAATTAATATGTTCTGTTTTTTGTTTATTTATATCTTTTGTTACATTTATTTTTAGTATAATTCATTGAATGAGAACCCCAACAAGAATAATTTTTTATTGCTAGCGTATTCTTTGACAAAAAACAACAAACACACATAGACATCCTTAATTCTTTATTCAAAATGTTCCTTCCACCTATCGGTCAGCCACCTTCATCATCTATACAAGGTGGTGGAAATGGTAACGGAAATAATCAGCAACAACAACAACAACAACAACAACAAACAAGTGTTATTAATACAAGTACAAGTTCATCAGGTTCCTCATCAGCAAATCCTATCGGTCTTCCAGCTCCACCTCATATGGCATCAATGCCATCGACACCACCTGGAACTGGTATCATGACAATGCTTAATCCTCCACTTGATTTATCTCCACCACCACGACCAGATTTTGGTCGTGAAGGTCGTTCAATAAAATTACGTGCAAATCATTTTGCAATTCGTATACCACCAATACTTATTCAACATTATGATCTTAATATACAACCAGATAAATGTCCAAAACGTGTTAATCGTGAAATAATTGATACAATGGTTAATAAATTTCAAAATATATTTAATACACAACATCCAGCATTTGATGGAAAAAGAAATTTATATACAAAAGATTCACTACCATTTGGTCGAGAACGTATTGAACTAGAAGTTACTTTACCTGGTCCTGGTGAAGGACGTGATCGTTGTTTTAAAGTACAAATAAAATGGGTTGCACAAGTTAGTTTAGTTAGTTTACAAGAAGCTTTACAAGGACATGGACCACCAGTACCTAATGAAGCTGTATCAGCACTTGATGTTATTATGAGGCATTTACCAAGTATGAAGTAAGTATCTAATTAATAAGAGTTATTTTGAAATTAAAATATTAGTCTTATTCTATTATATACAGAACTTACAGGTTGGAAATATTCAGCTTTTATATTGACTTTTGATTATCTAATATAAAAATTTTCTACAATAAATTTTTATTTAGATATACACCGGTTGGACGTTCGTTTTTTTCTCCACCTGATATTCAATATAATCCATTGGGTGGCGGTCGTGAAGTATGGTTTGGTTTTCATCAATCAGTTCGACCATCTTATTGGCGAATGTCATTAAATATTGATGGTAAAGAATTAATTATTTTCATAAATTATAAATATATTTTTTTTACAAATTTCTTTTTCTTCTTAGTTAGTGCTACTGCTTTTTATAAATCCCAACCAGTAATTGATTTTATGTGTGAAGTATTAGATATACGTGATATACAAGAACAACGACGACCATTAAATGATGCACAACGAGTAAAATTTACTAAAGAAATTAAAGGTTAGCAAAAAAACAATCTACATAGTTAGTCATTTAAAGTTTAGATAGCGATTAAATTAAATAGATTCGGACGAACTAAAAATAAAAAACACTGATGAAGATTATTAACAAACAAAGACTATTTTTCCGCATATTATGATTTTTGTTTACTATTATCATTTCTTTAATGGTATAGATTTGAATCAAACTTTAAATAAATTGATATTTGCCAGGATAGGATGATACAACATTTTAACTTTAAAAATTTCTCAAAAAGAAATATATAAGATCAATAATTTTATAAAAAATATTATGATATTAAATGCTTTGTGTATTTTCAATATGTAATTAATTAATAAAAAATACGATCTTGAACAAATGTCAGATTATATACAGTGACATACACAACCTATCATCTTTTTGTTTTCTAACATGTCAAGATAGTCTCCGTGGATTAAATTTTGATTTTCATCAACTTCTTGTTCATTGTTTATCAACTCTCTATGTTATATATTAACTCTACGAGACTTGAAATGATCTATTTCACATTCAATTTGCTTTTCAATGAAAAGACAAATTGAAAAAAAAAAATGCAACTTCTCGGTAGAAAAGATTTTATCATATTTTTATTTTCATGTGATATGTGAGCAAAATTGAAGCATATCATTTTTAGTATTTCCAGTATAACAGAATAAACACATGACATAGAAAGCTGATAAAATATGAAAACCGCAACTCTATTAATAGAAACAAATTTTGACATATTTGAAAGAATAAGATAATCGACTGAATATATAATCAATTTTTAGCATCACTGATAAGCCGTGAAATATGATTGAATTCTATGACTGAGTAGATCAAGCTATCCTTTTCTCTCTTATATTCTGTGAATATGAATACGATGAAAATATTGATGATAATTTATTTCTTTTCTAAACTTACTGTAACATGATTTGATTAGCATCAATATTAATCATAAATATCTATCACCATAGGAAAATAACTCGTTAGTCAAGATAGATTAATAAACCATTCGTTAATAATAATAAAAAGAAACGCTAGGATAACGAATCATCAATAATTACTTTGACATAATGTTTGTTCATTTTTTCAGTCTATCTGCATAAATTTTGTATTATTTTCGAACATTTTTCTAGGACTTCTGAGTGATGACGTGACCTTTTAAAAGTATGAAAATGATGTTTGAAAAAAAAAAATTAACAAATAAGTTTGCAAAGAATTAAAGACGAAATTATTCTCGACAAAGTAATACAAGAATCAAGAGTGTTGCTCTAGCTTCAAAATATTCTCTATCAATGAGAATTCTCTGTTCGTACTTTAATTAAATCCAATTCTTAAAATTACTAGTAGAAAAATTTTTACTAAAATTATTTTTTACATACGAAATTTCTTCTAATGATAATTTCTAAATTCATGAACTTCTAACACGATCAGTTTTCGATCTTATATCTTCAATGATCGAAACAGAAATATGTTTGATTAACTCAGTAATAAATATAGAAAATATTATTAATAAATTATAATATAAAATTAATCATTATTTNAATTTTTTTTTTTAGTTTGTTCACTTGTACATCAACGTCATGTACAAGGTATATTTGGTCCACCTTATCCTGAATTAGCTACACTAGTTCATTCAATATGTTATCATGTTGATATACCATTTATAAATGTATGTTCATCATGTTATGATGTTGAAAACCCGGATGAAGAACCTAATGACTATATTGAACAAATCCCAAGACGTGATCGCATGTCTATTAACTTATATCCGTCCAATCAAGATCTTAATATTGCTTTTCATAATTTAACTCATAAACTTCAATGGACTAAATTTCTAATTATATATGATATAGATTCAGGTAAATATATATTGAATTAAATTCTATAAGATTTATTTTCATATGTATATTTATAAAATAAGGTTTGACACGTCTACAAAAATTGCTCAACGATCCCGGTGTCAAACAAACTGATATTCTCGTACGTCAATTTACACATTATAAAGATCGTAGTGTTCTTACTGATGCTATTGGACGAGATATCAGTAATATAATATTAGATTTAAATGATATTAATACACGTACGGTACTTAAAATGGCTTTACAAATGGGAATGATTAATTCAAATTATCATTATATATTAACAACACTAGTATATATATATATATATTTATTTATTTAAATATATCGTCTGAAAAATGATACTAGTTGTTTGTTTTTTTTCTTTATTTTATTATTTTAGAATATTGATACATTTGATTTAGAAGATTATAAATATAACTATGTTAATTTAACAGCTTTTCGATTATTTAATCGTCGTGATTCACGTGTAGTAATGGCAATGGAATCATTTTTTGCATTTAAAACAATGTCAAATAATGAAGTAAATCGTCGATTATTCACAGTGAGTTATTCAAAGATTTTCTTATTTAATTCTAAAATGGATCGAACCATTCTATGGCATAGTTTAGACGTCAGTAGCATTATGGGCTGATGCATTACTTGCATTTGCTTATGCATATGATAAATTAATTGCATCACAAATACGTTTAGGTGTTGAATTAATACGTCCAAATATTTCATGTATTGATGGCCGAGGATGGCCATTAGGCATTGAACTTCATTCAAAATTTAATCAAGTATATTTTAATTTCTTATATAAATAAATATATAGATAATTAATATTATTTTCTAATAGATTTCTTTTGATGGAATTACAGGAAAAGTAAAATTTACATCAAATGGAGAACGAACAGGATTTGAACTTGATGTTGTTCATCTATCAGAAAGTGGAATTTCAAAAGTAATTGAAATATTTTCTTATCTTTTTGTTTTTATTATTTACTTTAGCTAATGTATTCTTTAAAAGAGATGTATAGAATAAATACAGATGTTCTAACAAATTAATTATCATTGTTTCCTTTTTTTTTTTTTTCTTTCTTTTATTCTAACGAATAAAAGATCAATCAGTAATAGGATCAGATGTATTGATAAGATAAACATTTGGTAGAAGTTATTCCCAAATAAATTAATATGATCGTTTATAGACATTTAATACTTCATCAACATAGATGTCTTTCAACGTAATATGGTAACTTATCAAAAAAGAAAAAGATTTTCTCAAACAATAGCTTTTATCATGCGAAGAAGAAAAATATCCCTGTCTTGTTGGCATAGAATGCTGTCAAATGACAGATTTAAAAGGTCGATATGTTCTTTACAATCAATACTAGCTCTAGCTCTGAACAGAGAAGGTCAATCTGACTCAAAGTTATTGTAGTCGATTGCTTGAACTCCCCATACACATTACCTAACCACAAGAGGAAGTGTATATCATAACGTAGTCAACGTACTATCGGACAAGTGATTCGAGATAAACAGTTGTTAGTGAATTGCCTAGGATAATTTCATGACTGATAATACACAAGTTTAAATAGAGTATCTTGTGGGTATAGGTTGACTGTTTTAATATATGATCGATTGAAATCGATAAAAAGATAACAAGCTTCATCAATGTATAGTTATAATCAGTAGGATGAAGCTTTATTCTATTAAGAGACAAAAAGAAATAGTAGAATGTATAATTAAATCGTGAAAAATAAAAGATTAAATTCTCTTTTAAGATTGGTACATGGTCACGTGAATTCGGTGCAAATTTTACATTAACACCTTCGGCACGTGGTGGTTTATTCAATTCAACATTAATTGTAACAACTATTGTTGTATGTAGATAAAATTTTTCTATATATATATATGTACATCATTTTTTAATCTTATTCAGGAACCTCCTTATGTTATGTTTAAAAATAATCAAAACTTAACTAATCCATTTAGTCGAAATTATACAAATAGTGATTTTGAAGGTTTTTGTGTTGATTTACTTGAACAAATGTCACGTATACTTAAATTTCGTTATAAAATAAAACCTATTACAACATTACGTTATGATGATATGGTTGAAGAAATTAAAGCAAAAGTATGAAAATTGTTTTCTTTATATTATATTATATAAACATTTTACTAATTTATTAGAGAGCTGATTTAGCTGTCGCACCATTAACTAGTATGTATAAAATATATATATATATAATGATAGTTTGATGTGAATAGTTTTTATTTTAATTAGTAAGTTATGCTCGAGAGAAACAAATTGATTTTACCAAACCATTTCTTAGTTTTGGTATAGCAATTTTATTTAAATTACCAAAAGCAGAAAAAGCTGGTTTATTCAGTTTTTTAAGTCCACTTTCACTTGAAATATGGGTATGAATTATGAATTTTTATTTTATTAATTTAATTCAACAAATTTTATTTATTAGATTTATACATTTGCTGCTGTATTTACAGTTAGTTTTATTTTATTATTAATTGCTCGATGTTCACCTGATGAATGGCGTAATCCGTATCCATGTGATACTGAATATGATATATTAGAAAATCGTTTTACTGTTAGTAATACACTTTGGTTCTCTATTGGAACATTGATGCAACAAGGTATAATAAAAAGACAAAAAAAAAATTCTCTTTTTTTCTGACAAAATATCGATTAATTATAAAAAAATATTTGATGTGATAAGTTCATAAAAATCTTGAAGTACTTTATGTTATAAGTACTATTATTATTCTAGTGAGTTATTTACTTCCTGTTCTATGTGTTCGTTTGCTATAAAGAAAAACAGGAAGATATAAAAGTGCATTAGCTTTGTATTTAATATAACAAAATTATATTAACATGTAGGATTATATTATATGAATAATGTTTGTTCTAGTAAATTTATTATATATATATATTAAAAAAAATTTTGATTATTCTACAAAAAAAAAAAGAAGAAATTATTAGATTCATAAAAATTGTTTATTTAGCTCCCTGGGATAGTACACTCTTAAGATAAGTGTTCATTCAATTACTTGAGTTTCCTATTCATATTTTCTATCTCGTGCAATTATCATAAGAAAAAAAAAACTGAAATAGCAAGTTTATGCTATAAGCGAAAAGATGATCTTAGATTATTATTAATGAAAGTTGCTTATCGCTGAAATGTAATGACTAATTATCTACAGATCCTGAGAGTTTATCGAAGAAAAAACTTATCAATTTATTTTCATTAAATCATGTCAGTGTTTTATTGCTAACTGATTACATTGTTATTCTTATAGTTTATTTTGTTTGTTTTTTTTTCGTTCTTTCTGCTTATCTCAGTTGCTGTTATCGTAGCCTTTGATCTATGAGGAAAACATAACTCTTCTCATTTACGTATTTCGATAAGTAGTTTTCTTATAGCGTACATGACATTTAAGATGAAGCACTTCTCATTAGATAGGATGCCTAGAAGTATTCATCTTCATGCGCTATCCGTCTGGATTTATGGCTATTGCATTGGATTTTTTCACTTTGAGTATGGTTACTTATAGAAAAATCGAACAAATGAATTCTAACCTCGAACTTTTGTCTATAGATATAACCTTTATCATCATAAGAGTATGATAAAAATTTCAGTCGAAAAGAACGATTCCTTGTTGAGATATTATGATTTTTTGAGGAATTTAATATATCAAGAACTTTCTATAGACAAAGTTCCAGGTCACACTCTTTTGTTTGATTTTTATAAGTACTGTACTCGGAGTGAAAATGTCAAGGGAAATAATCATAACTTCAGACGGATAGTGAATGAAGAGAAATCCCTCTATTTTTCCTATCTAATGAGAGATGTGTCATATAAAACGCGCAAAGTACTACAATAGCATATAAATCTTGTCAAGTTCGGAGAAAAGTTTTCTGAAACCATATTTTCTCTAGCTTAGTTTTTATTTTTCTCACTCAATTAATAAATTATTGTAACTGCGGATCAAATACTCTCTACCCAGTACGGGTGTGAAAAGCAACGATCTATGAAGATACAAACTTCATTTCTAATTGTATAATTCATAAAAAGAATTTGAAATTATGTGTTGTTTTTTCTATCACAGTAATACAATCCCATGGATCGGTTATCCGTGTTGTACTCTATAACGTCATACAAGTAGATTTATAAAAAGCATTTTCTTTTTTTAAAGGTTCCGATGTAAGTCCATCAGCAATATCAACTCGTCTTGTATCTGGTATATGGTGGTTTTTTACATTAATTCTTATATCGTCTTATACTGCTAACTTAGGTATAAAAAAAAATTTGTTGAATTTTCTTTTTTTTTTAAATTTCTAATTGAAATAAACTATTATTATTTTAGCTGCATTTTTAACTGTTGAAAAACTTAATAATCCAATCGAAAGTGCTGAAGATTTAGCAAAACAAGCAAATATAAAATATGGAGTTGTTCGAGGTGGTTCAACAGAACAATTTTTTCGAGTACATTCTATTTTATTTTATAATATAATATTTTATTTTAATAACAAAATTAGGAATCGAGCATTCCAACTTTTCAAACTATGTGGAAATATATGAGTAATAATCCAGATGTATTTGTCAATACAAATCAACAAGGTATCGAACGTGTTAAAGCCGGATCATATGCATTTCTTATGGAATCAACATCAATTGAATATACAATACACCGAGATCGTAATTTAACACAAATTGGTGGTTTCATAGATAATAAAGGTTATGGAATCGGATTACCTGATGGTTAGATATTTATCTTAAACGATTGTATGTTTGTTTTTAATGTTTGTTTTGTTATAGGAAGTCCATATCGTGAACGTTTTTCTGAAATAATTCTTGATCTACAAGAAAGAGGAATTGTAAGTAGAATAAATAAATAAACAATAATACAAAAACAAAAAAAAAAAACAAATTTATGACTTTTCTAGATTCAAACATCTTATAATAAATGGTGGAAAGGTACAGGAACATGTACATCAGAAAAAAAAGATACAAAAGCAAATCCAAATCCATTGGATTTAACAAATGTCGGTGGAATATTTGTGGTGCTTCTTGGTAAAAAAAGAAACAAAAATATAAAAATCAAGCATTTCATATATTTTATAATGATTAATTTAGGCGGTGTTTTTCTTTCTTTACTTGTTGCTATTCTCGAATTTTTATGGCATGCACGTAAAAATCATGAAAATCGACGAGTAAGTTAATACATTCGTACTTTTTATACATATTCTTTTGAGATACAGATGATAAACACTAAAGTTCACCGGATTTAAACATTTCATAGGAATCAATGAGAAAAAATAAGTGCAGAAACTTCACTAGAGAAAGACGAAAAATTTTTCAAGATTGATGAGTTTATACTCCACTTGGTACACTTTTTAATGGTCGAAATATAGTAATAACCTATCGATAGCAGATTAAATCACGATGTCAATAAGTATTAGAGACTTGCAAGGAATTCCGAAACCCGATTTTAACTCTGATAAAGTCAAAGTTGGAATTACTGAAAAAATTTTTCGGAGTCAAAATTATTATCACTTTAATGTACTTTTGCTGTTTAATACTACAATAACTTTATTTTTCATATTAACAAACCAAAAGACACCACTCATTACATCTATTAAGAATGAGTTTTGCCTATAACATTCGAAAAATCAAGCACAAACACATTACACTATTAATCAAGAAATATTTTAGTATCATCCGAACTATAATATTTTTGTCGTCAACAATTCTCGATTGTTTGAGCATAATACATGTATCGAATACTTTGTAGTTATTATTTTTTATTTCCACTTCACAACACAAATGAAAAAGAAATTCAAAATTAATCTTTTAATGATTCTTTGATTTTCTTTCATTTCTCTGTTTGTTTATCGACTTGTGCATATTCAAAATTAAACAATAAAATGCATTGGAGGTCGTCTAGTTTTGATAAAAAAAAAGTTTCGAAGTTGAAATCGGAGTCGAGTTTCGAAATAAAAAAAAATAACTTGATTCTGAACTTGTAACTAGAGCTCTTGCATCACAATGATCGTGACAAACTTTTTTTTTCAGAGTTAGATCAGATAGAACAGTCAAGTACTTATACTCTTACAATTGCAAAAAAGTTCATTCTTTGTACGTTAAGTAATGAACTAAAATACACTATTTGATAGAGTCATAGATAAGTTTCAAAAAACATCAGAAAGACACTTTCATTAATAAGCAACAGAAAACGTTTGACATCATAGGATTATACTTGTAACATAATTGATTAGATTTATCTGTAAAGAATTGAAATTTTGCTCATCTCAAGAGATTTTTCATGATACTCTATAAGTCTTTTCGTTTACATTTTCCTTTATATCAAAGAAAAATATATTCATTGTTCATATTTTCGAATAATTTAAATGAAAAAAAAAACAAACAAACAAACTACAAGTCTATTTTTAGCATTCTGTTTGGTGGGAATTAATAAAAGAACTTCGATTTTCAATTCAATGTGGTGCTTCAAATCGTAAAGCACTTGTTGCTCGTCGATGTTCACAATGTACAGTTGATGATGATGATGTTGAATTAAATGAAATTCCTCAAACAAATCAATTACTACATCGTACACATAGTAATCGTTCATCATCATCAATATCTGTTAATACAGGAAGTAATTTACAAGTTCCAAAACGTCGTACAACAACAGAACGAACAGCAGAGTCTGATAAATTTGATACATTACTTATGCTTGCTGCTGAACGAACAAATTATCTTGATAATCGTCGTAAAAAATATTTTCATGATTCTCATATTGATAGAAAACATCGTCATTTATCTGCATCACCACAACGAAAAGATATTCCACTTGTATTAATTGAAAAACATGCATCTAATGATGAACGAAATGTACGTTCTCATCAAGTTCATTTTTCTACAGATGGAGGTAATTTTATCAAAATAAAATAGATGAAAGAGGGAAAAAAAATCTTTTTCTTTTTTTGCTTTTAAGATTCACCTGCTCGAAGCAGTTTACGAATTCCGCATTACGAAGATGATGATGGCGATCCGAATGCAGCTGATGTATCATCAGGTTCGACATCATCAATGAATCTTCGTCCTTTACCACGTGTTTCTCGATTGTGATTTTTATCAATGTGTGTTTGCGTGTGTTTGTGTGTTTCATTTTTTGTTATTTGTTCTTTTTTTGTACAGATGAACAACAAATAAAAATAGTTAGTATTTTAAGACGGAACCAAGTATACGAAATTTTAATTGGATATTTTAGTTTTTCTTCATCTAGAAGATTTTTAGTTTCATTTATAATTAAGTCACTTGATGTTTGCTTTTCAAGCAATTACGATTCAAATATTCTTGTTATTTTATTTTTCTATCGTCCGAAAAAAAAATACATAAAACTTGCATTGAATAATTTGTACCTTCATTTTCGAACGCAAACAAAAGCATATCTGTATAAATATGACAATTATCGTTGCTTTCTTTCTTTTTAATATTTAAAACGAATTATTTCAAAGAAAAAGTATGTCCCTCTTATTACAACAACAAAATTCAAATATCAAACCAAAACGTAGCGTTACAAATCTACCAACAAAAACGGAAATCGAATTTCGATGGTCGATTTTGGCAGCTAAAATTGCATTACAAGACGAAACTTCATTAACAACTTTACATACAATTGATCTTAATAGTCCTAAAAAAAAATCTTTTCTATCTTCTCAATCTTCAACAGGTATATCGATAAAAATTTTATTCGATTAAAAATATTCTTTATATATATATATATATATCTAGCTCGAAGTTTTACAACAAATCAATCATCCTTGTTAGCACAAAATCTTTTACCACGTTCTCCTCGTTTATCAAATGTAAACAATATTAATAAGACAAAAGAATTATCAACTGATCAAAATGATGATGAAAGAAAAAGTCCATTAATTCTTACATATTCACAATTGCATCGTGCTCAACAACAACCAAAACAAAACGAAACATCTCAAACAAGTTTTTCTATGTATCCATTAATAAATAATAAACAAAGAAGTGTTTCAAATATATATAGTCGTTTACCGTTTTCATCAAAATCTATTTCATCAACAAAAATTCTACGACGCTTAGCAATTAAATATAAAAAATGATATGGACAATACAATTAGAACATTTACATATTTCTGCATATATATATATATATGAAAACAAGCAAAAATACATTATTTTTATGCTTTTTCGTAAAGTTTTTGTCTCCGGTCTTTCAATAATATATATTCATTGAAATAAAATAAATAAAAAATTTTCATTTTCTTCTTTATAAGAAGAATTCACATTTATATGTTAGTGTTCAATCGAAGATTCAATACTAAACGGACATTAATTTAGGATATTTTCAGATTAATTATGTACAATACGTCGAATCTAAGATTTGTTTGAAGATTTTTGGTAAATATTGAATCATTTAACATATTATATATAGATATAAAAATTCTTAAGTCTATGTCGAAAAACCTTTATTTTTATTTTTTTTCATTGTTGAGATTAAAGATTTCAGTATATATGTGTAATATTGTTTTGTTTAAGTACTAAAACATATGACATTGTTAATCTCAATAATTCATTAGTAAAAATTTCTCGAAATATATTAAATTTGTCATATCTATCTGATGATTTAATAGTTTTCGGCTCCACTTGACATTTTTGGAGCAGAGCCGGAACCGTTTTTTTTTCTCGTTTTTAGTAATCGGAACTGAAGCCGGAACTGCGATTACGGTTCCGGATAATTTTTCGAACCGTTGAACTTTAGTGAAGTACGAGTATGGATGCATTTGGTCCTACTGCCGCAATCAGCATATATATTAACTTTTTCTACTTATTCAAAATTTTCTGTAGCACAAACGGCAATTCAATTTCATCTAAAGTTTTTTATTCAATACATTCTTTAATCTGAACTAATATCTTCACATAGAATACAATTGACTTCGTTTCGAACTCGATATTGTTTGTATTAATCTTTCAATCCGTCGTTGTCCTAGGTCAATCTGAGATTAGATGTTAATACATATTAGTAATACAAGATCGTATATCGACATATTACTTTGATATAAATTAATTATGGTACATTATTTTGTTTTAATTTAGTAATTAAAATTCATGACATAGATATTTTGTTCGATTCATATATTTGGAACAATTTGTATTTTTTTTAAACACTCAAATTGAAGATATAGAAAAAGAGTTTTTTATTTCTCCGCACAACATAGAAAACATAAAACTATATGATATAATATAATGATTAAGATTAATTCAATATATATTCACTGTTTGGAATGAATAATTATATATAGAAATATCTATTTGAAATTGCTTATAGAAAAACCGATTGCTATTAATAGTAGAATAAATCTTGATATTAATTTTTGTGATTGAGAACAAAAATGTTCGACATAAACTGAATACATAGAAAATGATTCTTCATCATTATGATTTGCAAATGAACAATCATTCCTATTATTTCGAATTATAATTTGATTAGTTAATTGAAAACTCTAAAAAAAAAACAACAACAAATATTATTAAATTAATTGAGAAAAAATCTATCACATACAAAACAGTAAAATGCATTCGAATGTTTTGATTGAGCAATAAAATACGTTGTCAATGGATCATCCAATTGCCAAGATGCAAGACATGTATCGAATTCATTTATTGATCGATATTCAAGATCTAAAATTATGAATAAATAAAGCCTAGAGACTTTTCATATCTTGCAGAGATTCTTGATGATCATAAGAAATTATATTCTAACACATGACCCATAAATAATTGTACTCTTAGTATTTTCAAAATTTTCTTCTCTATTTATCATTCGATTGAAACACTTTCTTTATCAAAAGATAGTGCTATACTTTAATTAACAACTAGAATCTTCTCTATTTTTTGAATCTAATATAATCATAATTTAACGGATTTAAATCAGATAGATCCGATGATTCTATCCAATTTGCTTACTCTTTTTGTGCAGATCAATCATGATTAACATTTTGATTTTCTATAATGGGAAATAGGCAAGATCTTCAGACGGTAGCAAATATCACCATGTTTTCGTTTTATTTTATACAGTTATTTTCGAGTCTTTATCTTTTTTCAAATATTGTACTATATGAGCAAAATCATTCGTTAGCAACATGCTTTTGCAAAATTAAAACACATGTATTTCAAGTCAATGAACATTCCTAGAGCTAATAATTATATGTTACATGTATGTTAAGTTACTCTAGATAACCTGAAAAAATCAGTATTAGAGATTATTTTTCATAATACTTATTAGTAAGAAATTAGCGGTAATAGTCTGATGCAAAAAAAACATTGAATTTTACTTCAAGCATTTTTGAAAACTACCAAATCCTTCTTCAAAATCTCTAAAAAAACAGTTTATAAGAAGAACGCTTAATCTTACTGAAAATTTCATCATAGAAATGTAGTTCGTATTGTAGAGTCTATTTTGAAGTTTTTTTCTTCTCATATGGTTGGAGAGACGTTCATTGATTACTTTTTAGCTAATACTCAGCAGAAAGAACCAACATTTTTACACATGTCTTTCAATCATTATTTGTTTTTTTTTTATACAAAAAAAAGAAGACGATAGTGACAATCCAATTATTTATAGGTCACACAGTAAAGTCTATTCGATCTTAAAAACTTACATATTCAATCCAATGGGATTTCAATTAAGTGTCAATATCCGAGATCCGCCTTTTTCACTTGTTAATTCTACCCCTATATTCCATTTAATTCTGTCCACTTTCTTATTATTAATTTCCCTTTTCTTTATTTAATCATTTCCTTTACATTTCTATTATGTTCATTACATGTCCTATGAGTCTAGAATGCATGTTTGGTTAATCTCAAGTTATATTGTCTTTTTTTTTTATATAGCTTGTCTAACAATTGAACTATATTTGATGGTTAATTTATCATATAAAAATAATTTTCAAACCTTTTTCATTTTGTGAAATAGTTAATTTTTGTTTATTATTACAATCAATAGACATATAAAATGATTTTTTTTCTAAATCAAAATTAATATTTGATTGAAATAATACATCATTGATATAACTTGGACATGAATTTGATAATGTAAATGATTTTGTAAAAAATGTTAAATATAAATTATAATTATCATTATTTATATTATAACAATTATTTTCATTTAATAATGTAAATGTATAAAGTTCGATAACATTATTTGTTCGTTGAATTATATGAAGACATTCTTCTTTAATATCACTAGAATTTTAAACAAAAACAAAAGAAAATCAAAATCGATTTTATTTTTTTTTCTCTCAAAAAAAAAACAAAAAAAATACCAATTTGTAAATGTTTGTATTCGATAAATACTTATTGTTTTTTCTGAACTAATCATTTCATAACAATAAAAACGTTTATTTATTTCAATTAATTCTATATCAGTATTTTTAATAATCATTTGTATTGTTCCATTAATTGAATACCATTCATGAGATTGAAATTTATTAGAAAATATACAATATGGAGTTGATTCATTAGTAATCTGACGATCTAAATTATTACAAAAAAAGTAAACAAGCAAAATAATAAAAATTAATTTTGTTTCTTTTTTTTGTTAAAGTTTACTTTTTGATGTTAAAGTCATTACTGTAGACATATGTTTAGAATATAGATCTCGACATGAATCATCAGTAGCCATATTAAGTGATAATGATAATGAAGATTTTTGTTTAGTTAAAAATCGCTGAAAACAATGAAAAGAAAATGAATTAAATAAAAATAAAGAAATTAATATTAATATTACAAAACATGCATATTGATTATTTCTATGATTACGTTGTCGTTTTATAGAATGAGAAATAATACGAGCAACAAAATAAGTATGAAAATCTTCTATCCATGTTCCAACACAAACAAATTGAAGATCTTAAAAAAAGAAAAAATTTGACGAAAAAAAAACAAAAAACTTCGTTTTTATTAACCAAGAGTTGGTTGATATGATAAACATGGAGTTAGATAAAGATGAAATTGATTATCATTAACACATTCATTTATATATGATGATGAAATTGATTGATGACAAACTGAACTATCTTTTATTAGATTTGTTAAAATAAACGGTGGTTGAATAGGACATAATTGTGGCTTCGAATCATCTAAATAAGTAATAAAATAATAATAATGAACATGCTAAATAAAAATAACACAATGTAACATATTTTTCTTTTATCTTCTTTGCTCGTTTATACACATGGGCCTTTGACCTCATTTCTATACTTAATGTTGAAACAACAAAACAAAAAAACTAATCATAATACTTACTTCGATGAAGTGTGTACAATGCAGCGTCGGGCGCAATCATATTCGGACATGAGGTAATGCTCGATAGATCGTCTGCATCACTACATTCACCTATAACATGAAGACATAGAAATTTCTATTGAATAGTATTCCCTTGAAAATCAAATATACTTTCACGATATTGAAGTAAATTGATATGTCGTTGAATAAATACTAAACATCGTATACAACGATTCGGTCTATTTAAAAAGAAACATCATTATTTCTATATTGTTAATAATGATAACATCTTATATTATAAACTATACTAATATAATTACTTTCATCTTTTATTTTTTTTTTATATAATAAACATGTGTACGAAAATATTTAATCTAATAAGTTATTTATATTTACCGATCAATAAAAAGGTAATATTGTTGTATAGGAAGTACATCTAAACATAATCCTTTCGTCTGGATATGATCGATTGTTATCTCTAATAATGAATTCATTCCACGTTGATACCATGAACCAAGCCATGCCGTAGGCATTTTGCACAACGACCAAGCTATATAGATAAAATTACACACATCAAACACTTTCAAGGTTATATGAAAATTACTATGGTCAGTTTATTTATTCTCGTTTTTTTTTTTTGTTTAATGTCGAGACATCCAATGTCATTACTCTACACTTTTCTTTTATGCATCTTCGTTCTCTCATGTTCAATGAAGAAATCACTATTCATATGAATATTTTTAAACTTTGATTAATATGACACTCGGTACTAAGCTGTCGTCTGTTGTTGTACATTATGAGACATGCTATATTTTATTCATAGAAATACATAAATGAAGTCTTATAAGTCCTTTCTCTTTGTCTCATAGATGAAGAATAAAAACAAAACCATACAGCAAATAGAAAAAAAAAAATGATTTTGAACTAAAGAGAGATTGTCATTAGAATATGATAAATCCATTGAAATGGAGTTACGTCATTGAGTAGAAAGTACTATCAACAATAAGCACATATTACTTTAAAGTATGATTAATCATCTGAAATTTTCTCAAGGTTCGACAGTTGAATATACCGGATCTACTATGGTAACAATAGTTCATCAAATTGTTGGTTTTTTTTGTTTTTTTTTCTTTCATTAATAAAATAACATTTTAGAAAGTCAAAAGAATATATTGATCACTAAGAAACAGAAAAAAAAAAGCTGAAGGCCATTAGATAGTGTAATTAAAAGAGAAAAGACTATAGTCAAGAATTCTTATGCTTTTCTTATATTCTAACATCTGCTTCATCAATAAGCAATAAAAAAAAACTTAAGCAGCAATCAATAAAAACTTATTCATTGAATAGATACTAATATTGTATAGATCGCGTGAATTTTTCAATTTCATTAATAAGAATAATTTGAATGTATCAAATATAACTACGAAGATAAATGATTGAAGTTACATTTTAAAACAAAAATTTAGAACAGATGAATAATAGTTCACAAAGTGCGATGTATATTATTAATACAAATCCAATTGACAAATGAATGCATACATATATCTTTGTTGATTCGATAGACAGCTGTCTTATATATTAATGTGCATGTTCATCCAGTCTATCAGTCTAAACATTCATTTATCTATTTTGACAAATCGTTCACACCTTTGTCTTTCAAACAATTATGATGATTGTTATTATTAAACATAAATAATGTGAGAAAGAAGAAAATAAAACAAAAAAAAAAAAAAAAAAAAAACTCAAATTTAAATATATTACCTGAATCTATTTGTACACATAAAATAATATTGAAAAGAAAAAATCTACTAAGTTCTTTCATCGATATGCCATCACATAATACTAATATTAAATTTTATTGTAAATATATATATAATACTTGTAAAAATTAGAAGAACACGCATATATATACAGGAAGAAAATGAATGATGACTGAACGAGTCTTCCGTTTTCTTCTGTACAAAAAAAGAAATGAGAACGACGACAACGACAATCTTTATTTCTTTTCTATGTTAGAAGAAAAAGAGAATGAGAAAGTATGATGATGACCATCGTAATGAGAGAGATGGGAAAGGAAAAAAAGAAGAAGAGAAAGAACAAAGTGGCATGCAAATTACTTGTATGTATGATGGAGCCGACAAACAACTGTCTGGACAACAACTAAGTGATCTCATCATATAAAGACTCTTTTCAATATTCTTTTTTTTTTGTCATGTTCGTCATTCTTTTTTATTGAATATTTTTAAGTGTCTTACACCTTTTCATACTAGAAGAATAAGTGATAGTCAATTTATTTAAAGTTTTAAAAGATCACATCTACACAATAATGTTTAAATTATTGTTGTGAAAGCAAAAAAAAATTTATATACGTTTTACACCTTAAATACGTATCTATTAATTGTCAATTAATTTTTTGTATTGTTGAGACAACATATAGTAAATAGTTAGTATAATGTGAACAGATGAACAATGTGTTGTGATCATCAAATTAATCAAGACAGTGAAAAATTTCACGTCTCTATCCTTTAAGTGGTATCGTCTTCACACTTCATATCTATATCCTCAAGTTAGATCATCTTTAGTCTTACGATTAGATATGAACAAGATGGTTCTGCTTTCGATGAAATTGATCATTTACTAAGTTTGTAAATCTATTAATTTAATAATTGACCAATAGATTGATAATTGATCAGTCTAAAATTTCTTTCGGTATTGATTTCATTTCTTTGATTAGTTATGCTATTGAAAAACATTGTAATCAAGATAAAAAATAAGATCGAATAAAGTTTGTTTATTCAAAATCATAATATCAAATACTCATGATTATTATAAAATAATGAAAATTTATAAACTAAGACATAATAAGTTAGTATTAGAATGATATCACATTTTTATAATCTATTTTGTTTTTTTATTCGAAGCACCGGTTGACACTATTGTTTTGCTTGTGTTCTTTTGAGATGTTGGAGATTTTGATCCTTGATTTTTATTTTCAACTTGTTGAGACTTAGAAGAATTATCTGATGTTACCCCTTGTTTTTGACTACCGGTGTTCGATTTTTCTCTAAAGTCATACAAGAATACATGTTGAGCTGAAATAATAACTGGTTAGTTGTCTCGACATATTAATATAGAATAGATGGCAGAATGAAATATTATTCGTAATAATTTTTCATCTTAGAAAACATTATAAATTGAAAAATAATTACATATCAAAGTATTTAAAAGATATTCGATATTTTTCGTTTATAAAAGTCTTTATAAAAACTATTGCAAATGCCATTCATTCTGCCGTACGGATAATTTACCTTTCTTTTTCTGTTTTGTTTGATGAACTATCAAATTTTTCTTTATTCATAGTTTCTTGACTTTCAGATTTTTCATCGGGATCTTGTGGTGATTTCTTGGATGATTTTGCGTGAGTAGAATCTTTAAGTGTTGTGTGTGTATTATCGGCTGTCGATGCATCGATGACCTTCAATTCAGATGGTTTATTTGATACTGTCGATTCATTATTTTTAATTGGATTTTGATTCTTAGTTTGTGTCTGTGTCAGCGTACTTCTCGTTGCTGCAGCACTACTCTTATCCAATGAAGTGAATGATAATTCCTCGGCTTTCTTAACCCATGCATCATAAATATTATCATCCTTTAATACAAACAAAATTTTACGCATCATACCAGCATTTTTATCAACTGTTGTAAGTGCAACTTCAGCACCTTCATCTATTGGCTATATAATATAATATTAATTATATTTAATTAAGTAAAGACAAAATGTACTTACATAGCCGAATATACCACAACTAATGGCAGTGAAAGCGATTGTTTCAAGATCGTATAAATTAGCTAAAGCCAGTGATGTTTTGTAGCAAGAAATTAAATCTTTTTTACATTTCTCTGGTGGAGCATCATCATAGCAGGGACCAGCAGTGTTGATAATATAGTAAGCTGTTTTGTACAAATCATAACTAAGTAAAATGCGCGAATGACCAGTTGGTAAACGAACATCAGGATAAATTTGTTTGTAAGCTTCACAAGCTCTTCGAAGATTGTTTCCGGCAGCTTTATGAATAGCTCCATCAACTCCACTACCACCTAACATGCTTTCATTAGCAGCTAGATAAACAAAATGAAACGATAATGATTTCTTAACAAACAAACAAACAAACCATTAACAATAGCATCCACTTTTACTGTTAAAATATCTCCTTGAATTATAATCAATTCTGTGCGATTATTGCTAAGGGAAAAATGACGAGGGTTACGCTGTTTATTATTATTTTTCGGTTGAAATTCTGGAATATCTCTAAATATAAGAAAAATTTTGCATAATTATATGTTAATAAATATTTATTTTGTATTTTACGGATTGAGATTCGAAGTTTGTCTTGTTACACCACTTCGTCGATCTTTATCCATATCATCATTATCAAAATCTTCGGGATAACTACAAGATAAAAACATAAATCTTATCTAGATTTCTATTATAATAAAAAAATAATTATGTAAAATCCTATTTTGACCTTTTAGTTAGTAAAGATTGATTTTCATGAAAATCTTTTTCCTTTGGTAAAACAACATACTTAATTACTTTATTCTTCAATAAGAATAGTTTTATTTATGAAATCATAGTTTTTTCTTTTTTTTAAAAAACATTTTGAAGATTAATATATTAATTATTGAATCTCAATGAATAATTTTTGTGAAACAAGATCTGAAAGGAGTGTTGAAGTATATTATATTTCTGGAGAGTAAAGTAAAAGAATGGAAAAGAAATCTACCACAAAATAGATAGAATAAAATAGTATTCAATGTAGTTAATAATAGCATCTACATTGTATGTCATATTTTAATTTTGCATGAACTACGCTAATAGTTTTTAACAAACGAAAAAGTTTCGAGATACTTTTGTTTTATTTTATGTTTAATTTGTAAAAATCTTTTGAAATTTCGTATAAAGACATTTATCTATTAAAAATTAGAAAGTTTCTAAAATCGAACTGAAAATAGTCAATGAAATTTTCATTATTAAATCTATTATCTACGCAGTAAATTATTACGTCTTTGCTTCATTTTCATTTGATTGTCGTTGTGTTGCATGATGTTTGTCTCTGGTCGATGACATTTCAGATATATTTGAAATTTTCGTCGATCTAGAACATGAATTACAATGAGATCAATTTCACAATGATATAGATAGCATGAATCAATAGCGAAACATTGAAAAAAGTGCAGCACATAAGATACAAGTTCATACATTGGTACACATTTGAGTTTTATGTTTTTGTTTCGACCCATATCAATGAAAATACCAGTGAATTCATTATATATCTTTGGATCATAAATAATTATGCGAATTTCATTCATTTTTTTACCACCATTCGATTGACAGAAATTTTCTAAAGCTAAGTAAACATTGCTAGCTGCATCGTTTATTGGAAATCCAATGACACCACAGCCAATAGTAGGAAAAGCAATTGTTTGAAAGTTATTTTTGATTGCCAATTTGAGACATGAAGTATAAGTTTTTTTTAAATAGCCACCAGCTTTCTCGCGATTACCAAGATATGGTGGTACTGCAAAAATATATTGACGACCAAATATCGAAATTGTTCGTGGTTCTGGCTGCGTTAAATTAGAGCACACTCTATCAATTTGTCTTTTATCATACTGATCTGCTTTAGAGTAAATAGATTTGAAAAGTTGAAAATTATCAGGATTCATATCATTTGCTGGTGTTGGAATAACAAGTACATCAACATTTTTTTCATTTAAAAGATCCCCTGGTTTTAAAATAATGTTACATGAACCTTGTTGAAGATGAACTTCATCTCGATCGTCACTCTGTGATGTAGCCATATTTATATCAACCTAAAATTAAAACGTATTCAATTAAGAGTTTATACCAAAAAGGAAAATATCGGCTAAATCAGGCAAAACAGGACATTCATACCTTTCATTTGAGTTTTATTCTCTATAAGAGTGACTCTTTTAGATAAATTCTTTTAGCACAGACTTACGTGAAAATGTTTGGTCTTTCACATGGTTATTAATTAAAATTAATTAAAAAGTAATTAGCGATTATCTCGCTAATCACATGAGAAAAAAACTTGAAAATTTCAGGATAGACCATAGGGCATAAGCTGCATCTATGGTAAAATTTTCAGCACGATTGGACTCCAAAAACTGTCTTCCGAAAAACCGGTTTTCTAGAGACCATAGAAAGTGCAGAAACGAAAAATTTTGTCTTATTATCATCTACGAACTCTGAGTAGTGATTTGTGACGTTTGAAGTCGATTTTGAACGTTTCAGTTGGTTACAAGGGCGTCTTCTTGGCTGTTTAGTCGTACTATGTCACATCGCTAACGAATTCATCACGTCGCTAACGCCAAATGGACTCAATTTATTGTAAAATCTAAACATAGTCAGGAAAAATGTTGGATAGATATTTTGTAGCTTCAAGAGCCACCTACAACATGTACTATTTAGTTTTGGAAAATATTGTGTAAATTTGCAGATTTTTTAAACTGAAAAGGTTGCAGTGGAAGTTGATGTCCTTTTTTGAGTCACGTCGCTAACGCTAGTTTTTTTTATCATAACTCTGACGAACAAGGATCCCTAGGGCTATTTTCCTCAGAGTATCTAGAGCAACTTAACATACGTGCATCATATAAAAACTAACTCTAGATAAGCTCACTATCCAGAGATATATGCATTTCAATTTTGAGAAGTCACGTCGCTAACAAATGATTTTGCCCATATATAGTAAAAATAAAGTTTAATTAAAACAAGGACTCTTTGGTGCCTTGCGTCTTGACACCCTCTTTCAAACAAAAATAAAATAAAATATATAGAATGCATGCCGACAGAAAATTTTTGTTTGCCCGTTCAATAAATCATAAACTGAGCAAAAACGAAAAATATTTTCGGCTTTTGCAAAAACAGCTTATGTTTGGAATAGGGAATGACGAAAATCTTCAAAATTTTTTGGAAACAACAAGATGCCGAGTAAAAATTTTTGTCGTTTATGAAAGACCAGATCACGGACTATCTTCCTATGCATTTATCTCAATTTCAGTCATTCTGAAAAAAACTGACTTTTATTGAGGGCCCTTACAGTTTTCCTGTTTTGGAAAAACTGCGTTGTCACTTACATTAGCATTGAATAGAACACTTTTATATTAACCAGCATGACAGATGACGTTAGCTATCTTCATCTGTTACGTGCTTTAAAACAGTCCACTGAAATGTATTAAAAATATGCAGTTGTAATATGATTTTTTTCTGGATTTGAAAGAAAAAATCCATTTCTCAAACTTACTTAGAGTTTTTCTCAAAACATGGTTTCCAATCAGAAAAATTGAAACTTCTTCCTCCTGGCTTGAGCTATAACTAATATTTTTTTGTTTTAAAGGTCTCAATGAGAGTAAACTTTTATCCAACCAGATTTTTTATATTGGATTCCTGACCTGAGAAAAGTGGAATTTATTGTCGTTGAATCAGTTTTTTTATGCTGAATTTATGGCCATTCTACGAATATGCTCATCAAAAATGAATGAACAGGAGTTTCAAAATTCTGTTCGGAGAAAAACTGCGTACTCACATTAGCTTTAATTAAAACTACCCCGAGCTCTATGTTCCTTGTAGCGACGAGTTATATCGATTTTTCTGAAGGCCAAAAATGACCTATGAATCAGCTGGAAATTCGGTCTAGTATGATTTATAGAACTAAAATTTTTATCAGAAGTTTATCTCACCAGAATTACTCATTCCTGAAAATTTCAGCCAAAATGGACCATCTTAAATGAGAAATCGATTCTGAGTGGGGAGGATGGGGAGGGGAGAGAAGGATCTTAAATGTAGACAAAGTCGAAATTCAAAATGAAATTCTTCAATTGAACTGAGATACCATTGATTAAAGCTCTCTTCACTATCTAGAATACGTCGAACGTATGCACGACCTCCGCAAAGGACGATAACGGTTCTTCAGCACATTGTTTGACAACAGCTTTGACAAATGCAAATTTCTCATAAATTGATTCGATCGTGGGATTCGGTTCAGCTAGAATATTGTCAACCATTGCATCCAAAGTGTTGACCTTGAAAACATGTACGTCGACATTTTCTTTCTTATTTTGATTAAACAGTCGACAAACTTGATCAAATGTGTCAGACCATTGATTCTCAAATTGTTCACTATCGTGTGTCAATTGTCGAATTAATTCATCCGCCATAATATTTGTTGATAGAACGCGTACGGTAGCAACTGAAAAGTTCCCTTCACAAATCAATGTCACACGTGTAAATCGAGAACTCTTACTAATAACAAACAAGAAAGGAGAATACAACAAAAAATCTCATTAGCAACATTGCCTACTAAATATTTGAAAAAGGCAAAAGAACATTTTCAGTTTCTAACGCAATGTTTATCTATACGCGCATCAACGCTGCTCTTTTCTTTGTTTTCTCTAGTGTGTCCTTTTTGATCATTTATTCTAGTGAACACACCACATCATAGTCGTCCCATATTACGAAATACATTTGTTGATTTTGAATCCATTTAGCATGCGATGATAAATTCCGATTACCAGAAAATTGAAATGAAATTCCAATAAGAAAAATTTCCTGGAAATTCAATTGAATGCTTTTAAAAGTAATCACATACTAGTCGTCTTATTATAAAGAGAAGTAAAAATAAGGTTGAGGTTCCAAATTAGTAGCAGGTTGGGTTGGGTTGCGCTGGTGTGGGGCGGGTTAGGTAGCTCTGCGTGGGGTTGGTTGTGGTTGNAGATTAACCATAGATAAAAGTTATATTGAAAAAAGATGAAGAATCATATTTTATGGCATAGGGGTTCTCGAAAAACCGGTTTTTCAAGGCATAAACCTCGACCTACGGAAATTATTTTTTGTGGATCGATGGAGGGCACTACAAAGCATCGATAGCGATCAAAAACAAAAAATCAAAAAAATTTTGATTTTCATGTCCGGAAAGGGGAGGGGTCCCCTTAATCAATTTATTGATAAAACAACTTGTATAAAATCAAGAATGTTTTTGTTTTCTTGAGTAAAGTAGAACTTTTCTCTTTCTAAAGTTAATCTGACAAAATATGAAAGAAGAAAATATGAAACATTGATTGCTATTCATCTTCATCAACGTGATATTTTTCAAAGGCTTTATACGGCAGGTATACGATCTGATTTAGATTGATGTCGATTAGGCTAAACAATGTATATTTTATCTTTGAGAACAGGAAGATTCAATTCTTGTGAAAAGTACTAATGCCACTTTTTCTACATGATAATGAAGCGTTATGATATCCTGAAATATTTCTTATTACACCATTTGTTGATCCGTAAGAAAAACAAAATAAAATAAAGGTGAATATTTAGAAACATGATAATTATTCTTATAGATGTTATATTTCTGTTGCAACAACATTTGATATATATATAGCAGTATTAAACACTTTTCAAACTAATTCAATTGTATAGCTGATGTTTGTAAAAGATAATGTAGTGGATATAGAACCACCCATTGAAAATAGTTTTTGGTATCAAAGCAATTGCGAATGTCAACAATCAAACGTGTCTAGACGCAGTCGGGAAATAGTGTCAGCTAGATACGTTTCGAAATAAACCGTGTTTAGATGCAGCTCGAGATTCGGTGTTTTCTATTACTTTCCCCGAAATTCCTTTTTCTTCCATTTTATTTGGAAGAAAGCATAATGGATATTGAGAGGGATGTGGTATGAGTCCTTTCGTAGCACCCACATCGAGAAAGATAGGTTATATATGTGTTAGCATATCACTTCATATTTCATTCATCAAAACTGCATTAGTTTGCGAGAAACTTCTTTTCTGTATCATCATTTAAGTTCTGGAGATTCATTTTTGATTTCCCCAGAGTCATTGAGTTTCCTGAAAACCCGTACAAGGCATCATACGCGACTCAAACTCAAATCTCATGTAGATGCAAAAAAATATTTCACTGGAGACACGATTTCAAACCAAACCCCGTCTAGATACATTTCTTATTGGTTTTTAACAGCGTCTGAACGCATGCATTTTGGGTTTGTGTTTACATTGACAGAAAGATTTCATAATATTCTGTGCATATATATTCTAATCAGTGAAAATCAGTATCCATGCGCCGGCATTTCTCTGAAAGTTGATAGCAAATATTTGGTGATCAATGCAAGCTGATATCTCAGTGAATTTTAGTATCAGTTACGTCGGTGCAGTACAATCGCTATTTAGTGAATGCTTTGCCGGTAAAATCCGTGTCAATATATCAATATTTTTAATGGAACCACACATCCATAGTTGTATGTGAATGAGGCATTCTGGAGACATAAAATAGCTCAATAAACATTATTACTGAAGGAGGTATTAAGCTGTTCCTCCAGGTTGTCTTGAAATGACAGCCATGACAAATCAAATTTACATCGTTAAATTCGAAGTTGAATCTTCTCAGAGTTAACGATAACTCGGCATTATGCATTGTTAGTTGATAAAAGTGTGAAGTACAAGATATGAAGAATACTAGTGATATTAATGAATGTCAATGTACTTGAGTTAAGCAATGATGAAAGATGAATAATACACGTGGCAAATGTATGAAACGATTATAATTGAATAACATGGCGATGCCGAATGGCAATGGTACTAACTGAGCACAGTACTAAGTGAACGGCAATACCACAGAACATTAGTGAACATAGAAAGCGGATGCTTTGTCGCACGTTTCCTTTTAATATCGGTGCTCTTCATGCTTTTTTTTATTAAGCCTCTCGATTCTTCCTCACCTCAGTCGCATTGGTTTCCGTTTTCCCCCAAAAAAAGGAAGAAACAAACAAAC